GACCGGGCACTGTCCCGAATGGTCCCGAATGATACCACACTTGTGTCCCTTTGAACTTCAGTCGTATAATAAATCTCTTATTAACCAAGCCTGCTCGGGACCGTACTGGAAGAATATCGGCCCTCGGTCTTTTTTGTACTGACCTCGCTGCGCTCGGTCCGTACTGTCAAGACCTCGGGCCGATATTCTCCCAGTACGGCCCTCGCGCTTGGTTAATAAGATTTATTTATCAACCGAGTTGATAATGTAAGTTGGCACTGTAAGTTTCTAAAGCTGACGTAACGAGCATTGGCCTTCCTCAGAGCAAAGAAACAACGAAGGGCTAACGCTTTTTTCCTTATGACACTTCCCTTCTTTATTCATTGATCACCGTACAGTTTTCCATGTTATTTACTCACTCTTTATCCTTTTCAAACTGTCTGATCCTTTTTCTTCGTGTCAACTCTTCATCAGGATTTAATCCTTCAGCAAAAATTTCCTGTCTCTCCTGCAATTCCTCCTCTTCTTTTTCCTGTCTCAACTTAGCATCGCGGGCTTGCAAGGCCCTGAGGTTTTCCTATAAATCAAACATAATACCTATTCATGATCTGTCAGTAGAGATGATTTGGTTTTATCAACTGAGTTGATAATGTAAATTGGCCACCGTAGAGAGTTTCAGGCCTGTACAGGATTTGAACCCGCGACCTCTGCGATACCAGTGCAGTACTCTACCAACTACATACATACATACATACATATGTTGATTGACCACTCCCCATGGGGGCTTTTCAGGGCCAATTTCCACCCAGCAAACACCCCAGGGGAGGACATCCATCACACGGTAATCTCGTGCACGGGAAATTAACGTCTCCTACCCCTAACCCTGCAGGAGATGGGACCTCCATTTATTCGTCCCTATCCGAGAAGACCAGAGTATCTAACCATTTCTTGATATAGAAAGGTAGCATTTTCTTCTCATTTGTCTTAAGACCTTGAGTGTTGGTCCGAAAGGACCAACACTCAAGGTATCAAGCCAACTTGGAGCTGGTCATTATGTCAGTGCGTAGTCACACACCCATTCCACACCCACTAGCAGACTTGCAAAAAGACCCATTTTGAGATATCATGCTATCATTGTGAGAAGTTTCGGCCCAACTCTCTAAGGATAAAAGCAAAACATGCTACAAACAGTAACTGATATTGCACACAACAAATGCAAATTTTTCCAACTGGATACAAAAGTAGCTTCATAAAGGCTACACAACCTACCTTGTTAGCTTCAATGTTGCCTTTAAGACCAAGTATGGCCTGCATTCTGTCTTCCATATTTCTACGAGAATGTTCCTCTTCTTCTGCTTCCTTCTGACGAACTCTGTAATGTATACCAGTGAGTTAAGATCTGTTTTTATTATATGGCTGTGTCTCACAAGGACTAGGAACTACCGAATTCACGAATTTGATTGGCTGAAATCAATATTGAAAGCGGTCTAGATTTTCCCATTTAGACCGGCATCTAGACCGGTCTAGAAAAAAAAAGGTACAAAGAATATAAAAAATTGGCATATAAGACACAGCCATATAATAAACATCTTATAAACCGAGCTAGGTCGGTCTGTATGGGAGAATCTTGACCTCCGTTGCTGGTACAGACCTCACTGCATTCGGTCTGTACTGGCGACCTCAGTCAAGATTCTTCCATACAGACCTCCCGCTCGGTTAATAAGAACTAAAGTAAACATGCATGTCAGATATCCTTAACCCTTCAACTCCCAGATGTGATTAACATGTCACTTCTTCCTAAAAATTAATATCCCTGCATAATCCAGTAAACAGCTAATGAGGATACTCAAACTTATCAGGTAAAAGTTGCTATCTTGATCTAACACCAAATTTTTCGAAACCAGTTTACAAGGAAATGTGAAGCAGCTAGACGGGAAAATTAAAAATAAGATCTAAGGAGTTAAAAAAGGAAAAGTCTGTATATGGGTCTGACTTGCACAGCTGTTGGATATCACCCCAGTCTTGGTAGTTTCATTGGTTGGTACTAAGAGTATTGTTACTCCCTTTGGATGGGATGCCACATCCATTACAGGTCGCCCTCCCTCCTCCCAGCACTTTTTAAGGTTTCCCTAGCAGTTTGTTGGTAGCCATTCACACTCCTGGGTAGAGAGAAGTACTGTGATGTTCCTATCACAACACAGTGATCACAAACAGGGCTAAAACCTTGAACTTTTGATCTGGGCCAGTTTGTTCAAAGCTGTGTTAAGATAACCCAGGGTTAGTGTGAAATTTGATTTCAGATCTGAAAGCTCTGAAAGAAAATTCAGCTTAATTCCATTTGTCTACAATTTGATGATTGAATGTCCTAAAAAGAACTAGGAAAAATTATCCCAAAATGGCTTTTGATTAGAGAAATTTAGAAGCCTGGATTAAAATTTAACCCTGGGTTAGAGCTAATCCACCTTTGAACAACTGGGCCCTGGATCTACTGTTACCAAATTGTCAGGCTACCAAAATTCACACAAGCTAGGCTATGTATTGGAAGAAAAAAAATTTAACTAGGTTTACAAATTACTTATTTTAGGTTTCCACTGTTTTCATGAAAGTTAACACATGTGAGGCATAATTCATTCTGAAATAGCTAATTAAGTAACACATATTTTCAGTATGTACCTCCAAAAAACCTAGTGGTAACAAGCTTCCTATCTCTCACAACAAAACTTTTTGTATCTATTTTACATAAATGGTACCTGGACATTGTCTCTTTAAGAAACTTGGATGCCTGTTCTCTGTTTCGTTTGGCAGCAGCAATAGCTTGTCTGTGTTTTCTTTCCCTCTCTCTTAGAGCAGATATGTGCTCTCTGTAAACAATTTCAGTAACAATATATTTCTGTTATTTTATCATTTTCAGCTATTTCAAACTATATTGCATGTGAGACTAATTTTATAACATTTGAGGCTTTCAGGGCTTTTTCCATTTTTTTTTTATTTGTAATGGTAAGTAATACAACAATATAACAGGACAGATGTTATGACATGACACAAAATTCTCATGGCTACATTTCAAAACTATGGAATTCAATAAACTATGACAGGAATAAGACTCAAAATCAAGGAAAAACAATTATCAATTAAACTAGATTAATTACTTCTCTCTCAAACGTCTTCTCCTCTCTGCCACAGCTGCACTCATATTTTCTTTTCGTAGACGAACAGCAGACCACTCAGCTTTTTGTTTCTCCACAAGTTTCTCCTCTTTTTCAAGTTCTTGCCCAGCAAGGAGGAATTTTCCTTGTTCAACTGTGGCTTGTGCAAGAGCAAATCTACAGTGAAAAATGTTTGCCATTATTATTACTAGTAAGGAGACTTGAAGCTCAAGCAAGATTCAAACTACACAAGTAGACCCTGTCTGTTCAAGGAGCTTGATACTGCCATCTATTACACAAATCCTAAGTGATTTATGGTAATACTTGTCTGCTGGATAGCAATTATTTAACCCATATAAAGGGTTGTCAACATTATGAACAACCTCCTGCTTTTTTTCCAACTGATTTAATGTTGCAATAATAAAGTTGTTCATTCCTTTTTACATTGTGCAGCTCTGACCAATATGCTACACTACCCTAACTGATGTCATCAGAAAATAACAATAGGAAAGGTGTATTTTAAGGAAAGCTAAACAAACAGAGATGTGGAGTGAAGGAATAGTGGTTCAAACTGAAAAAGATCTGTTGGAGAAGTATATTCCTAATACCAAAATAATATGATTAGCAACTACTTACTCTGCCTCTTCAAGTCTGTTTAGAATTTCTCTTTCCACATCTTTTTCAGCATCAATTTCTGCACATAATTTATCATGGCATGACTGCAGTCTGTAGAATGATGCCCTAAAAATGATAGCACAGAAAACGTTTAGACAACATTGAATGTTTTCTTCCTCTGTAATGTCAAATTAACCCTTGAACCCCTAAAAGTGACTGGTTTCTTATTTCTCCTTTCATTAAAACCTTTGAATCAAACATAAAGGCCATGAAAATAAAAATAAAAGGATCTCCAATCAATGATCATCAAACAAAGTCTCCTTGTCAGCACCACAGGAAATGGAAAGAGAACAGTATGGAGAATATGAAAATTAATTTTAGGGTCTACAGTTTTGTGCCCTTTTTTTGTTTCTCACCTCATCCCTGATTTTTGTTTGTCATCCATTTACTTACATGTTGTTTTGAGTTTCTGCTTCTTCGATCTCACCACTGACCAAATCTTTATCTTTCTGGAGTTCATCAATATGCTCTTGACATTTCTTAAGCTCCTCTCTAAAATACAAGAACAGATTGTCACTAGAGTCCTGGGGCTTTCATTCAAAACATCTCATTAGCAGTTCCAAACAAGTTTTAATAAAGTAACTAAATATGATAATCACTATCATTTATTAGATCGCCATTACCTGAACTGGGAGACAAGATAGTCTTTCTCCAATACTTGTTCACTAAGTTGGTCAAGGTGACGTCTCAAAGCTAAACGCTGTAATTTCTCCTGCACCAAAAAAGGTTTAAGGAACATTCAATTAAGCAAGGTCCAGCCAAATAATCACATGCATTTTAACACAACAGAAAAGCTCAGAAAAGCTCAAGATGAATCTTACTTCTACTATATAAGAGTAAAACCAAAGTCTAATTCTATAAACAGAATTTCAGGTAATGAAGAAAGCCGTTAAACATTTGTTACAGTCTGCTGAGAAGGTTCAACTACCAGCCAATTCGAACAATTTCCAGTTAAATGCTTTTATCAATAGCTGACCTGTCTTGTCTGCTGAGCAATTGGATCAGATGCATATTCATCCTCCTCTAATCCTCCATCCATACTCCTGAAAAAAAAAACCACGATCATGTAGTTCTTAAATAAAGTCAAACTAATGGCTTAACCGTTTAATTCCCATGAGTGACCCAAACAGAATTTCCCCTTACAAGAGCAATGCAACATCAAGCAGACAAGCAATGAGAATAAAGAAAAATATTCGTTTGGGATTTACTTGTTTTACTGAGTTGATAATAAATGGAAATTGGCCACTATAAAGAGTTTAAAAGCTTTCCATGGCTGTATAGTACTTAAAAAACACAGTAAATGGGTCACTGATTTAGGGGGACTGAAATTGAAATTTTAAGATTCTAGGTTTTAATCCTCCACTTCATCACAGTGACTCGACTAGATTTGTTTTCCAGCAAATGCCAGCCCCCCACCCCACCCCACTCCTTTCCCCTGGCCTCCCTTGACTAAGCTTTATAATAAGCCACATGTTTCATACCAGATAGCACTTAAAACAGTTAATAAATTGTTTTACAAAAATATGTGACATATTTTGTATCTACTTGTTCATGTTTATAATATTATGTCCTCAAGTAGTGGAGGGGTACCTAATACATATAAAACTCTTAATCAAGATTGGCTATTCAATGAAATCTGATATAAAAAAATAGGCCACAAATGAATAAATCTCAAAAGCACCTCTTTAATGTCTTTAGAATTGGTGATCAGTGCAGAGTTGCTTAGGTACTCATTACCATCCATAACTCAGCAGCATTTAAATCAAAAAGCCTACATCGCGTATTTGTCAAGGGATAAAATTGGTCAGATTTTGAAATAGCATCCACACATTGAGCTCAATATTTCAATATAATAGCCATACCCTGTGAGAGACTCTTCATCACTAAAGTAGTTCTTGTCAACATCAGATGAAGGGTCGCTCTCATACTCAATAGGACCTACAGGACAGTCAAGAGAAACATGTCATTTGATGCATCCCAATAAAAGCAGTAAGACCTCCTGATTAGCATGTAACCTCTCCTTATAATATCCATACACAATCCAGCAAACAGGCAAACTAACCTACAAGGCCGAACCCAAACAACTCAATATTTCTGCTAGAAGTAATATTACTTGTGGTGTACCGCAAAGCTCCGTCTTGGTTCCACTACTTTTCCTAATCTATATTAACGATATTCAAGAATGCTCTGAAAAGCTTAAGTTTTTTTTGTTTGCTGATGACATGAATATCCTATATGCTGACAAAAATCTTAGGTCATTGGAGTTAATTGTTAACCAGGAGCTCTGCAAATTGTATGACTGGCTAATAGCAAATAAATTGACCCTGAATTTAAAAAAATCTAATTTCATCATATTTTCGCCTGCTCGAAGAAAATTTACTTAATATCAACCTAAAATTATGATGTTTGATAACGAGCAGAATAAAAATGTAGCTTTAGAATGTAAGGAATTTATAAAATACTTAGGGATACTAATTGATAATCATCTAACTTGGAAACATCATATTGATCATATAACAATTAAAATAAGTCGAACCATTGGTCTAATATCTAAACTACAGCATTTTGTTCCAAAACACACTCTTATAAATATCTATAGATCTCTCGTTGTGCCTTATCTGAGCTATGGGCCAATAGTCTGGGGCCAGGCATGTAAATCATATCTTGATAAACTTCTAAAGCTGCAAAAACGAGCTCTACGTTTTATCTATTTTTCTGACCATGCAATTCCTCTATTTTCCGATGCCGTTATTTTACTGCTACAATTTTCTTATTATGAACTTACAGCTAACCTGATGTTTGATACTAAATAGACAGTTTATTTGAAAAACATTGCAACCAAAGGTTGAATTACGTATTCATTCACAAATTTAAGAAATATATAAAAATGGTAACATACTTTTAAAATATTAAAAATTAGCCTAAGGTTACATAAATAGATAGAGTCAGCTTATACAAAGTGTGCGTAAATGATGAAAGATAAAACTATCATGGCACCTGTTCATACGAACCACAGGTAAATTAAAAGCGCGCTTTTTCCTTAAGTCCACCCTAGATACACTCCTGGGCAGCAGGAGCTTATGCAGCTTGTGATTTGGTGCAAGAATGTTAGAAAGGAGCTTGTTAGCAATATTCTTGCGCCACTCATGCAGCGAGATAAGCCCAGTGCACGATAACGCCTCATCATATTCTTTATCAGGGAAAATTATACGTAATGCACGCTTCTGGCATCTTTCTAAATCAACCGATAAATATTGAGGTTGGCTGCTGTGAAAGAGCGCGCATGCATAGTCCATAACAGATCTAATACATGTAAGATAGAATAAAACGAGCTCCTTAGACTTAACCTGGGCGTGCTTTAATTGGCATAAGAAGTAAAGCCGCTTGTTGACTTTCTTTACTATCTCATCTACATGTGCGTTCCATTTGAGATCGACGGAGAAGGACACAAAAGAAAGACGGAGAAAGACACAAAAACACGCCTAGAAGTATTCAAGACCTGTTTCAAGACATTTCTAATATTCACCTCTATAATACCCAATCCTCTGCTTTGCACAACTTCTATACACAAAGCTCTAGGCTCTCTATTCAATTGAACTCGTTTTCTAGAATTGGAACAAAAATTTGGAACGAGATGCCTCTTACATTAAAGCATCTCTCAAAATATGACTTTAAGAGAAAAATTAAAAGAGTACTTTTCAATATTCTGTCTTTGGAAGACTTCTATCTCGACATACGAAACCTCATTCAAAAGGTCAAATTTTCTTAAGGTTTTTAATGTATTTCTAGAATAATGAGTATAGCCTTAATTGTACTATCTTTGTATTTTTGTAGTATCTTTGTTTTTATACCTACTCTTTTTATTTAACTTCCTGATTTATGTAAACCTGTATACTTATTCTCTCTAATTAATTTCCTGATTTCTGTAAACTTGTAAACCAATTTTTTTCTTAGTTAAGACATGACCCACCTAGATTGGCTAGCTACCTGTGGGCATGTCCAATTTGTTAAAATAGTCATTAGTCATTAGAAATTAGAATGAATAAAATAAATAAAGGCAGAATTTTTTACCTTGATCCAATACCAAACTCTCCTAGCTAATTTACATGAAAATGTGTAGCAACTATAGAGGAGAATTCACAATCAGATCTTGGTAGTTAAAGGGTGAACTCTTGAACCCCTAAAAATGTCTAGCTTCTAATTCCTCCTTGACAGATTGAAGTGGTTGTAGACAGAAGGTTATACTGTATTAAAGGAATGTCAGGACATAGTCACCATCTAAGTCTCTCTTAAATCAGATTCCACTCTACTATTGACCAGTGTCAGGTTGTTCAAAACACAATTAACCTAACTGAGATTAGTGCAAATTTTTAATTCACTTAAATAGCTTTGCCAAGGGATTTTTCTTAGTTTTGAGTCATATTGAGATAAACCCCAACAAAACCTCAGCTCTTATACACACTCTTCTACATAAGAAATTAAAGCCAAGGTTATCTTTAAATCCTAGCGTAACGTTAACCCCTTTTCAAACCACCCAGCCCAGAGTTATATTCACCAGAGAAAACGATGAAAACATTTGAATAGATGTAACATCTGGATAGCAATATTATACCATCTTCAAAATAGTTATCCTAGGTCTCTTTTTTAAGACTTTTCCTTTTACCTTCATCTGAAAACTGCCACTGGTTTTGTTTTATTTCATCAACTTCACCATTGGTCACATTGTCGCTGGCATCAGCATTAACAGTTTCATCATTCGAGTTGTAAATACCATGATCTTCCATGGTGTCTTCCATTGCCTTTTTCTCTAAATCTATCACCTCCATGTCTTTGAGGACACCTGGCTCACTCTTTGACCCTTCTTTGTACAATTGTACCGATTTGTTTCTTTTCTAGCTCTCAAAGTAAAGCACAATACTGGATTCGACAAAATATTAGACGTCCAATCAGTCTCCTAGGACAACCATTCGCTAATGTGTACATATGATAAAAACTGCAGTGTATCTCGACTCGTCAATTATGATTCAAGAGACGTCATGGAGTTTCTAAAATCCCACTTCGATAGAATATCTTACGGCAAAATGAGGAGATCCACATCGTAAGTACTTCTTGCAGATAGTTCCAAACCGAACTCTGTACAATCAAATTTTTGGACAGATTGAAGGACTTCAAACTTGGCTTCAAGCACAATTCTTGTCCAGGAAGACTATAAAAGAAACCTTAACGTTTCCATCATGAAACCAGAAAAGCTGTTCAACAGAGCATAGCCAGCGTAACAGGTAAAAAACTGTTATTTACGGGCTGTGAACCTCCAAGGCGAAATCACCCGTTAAACAACAAACGGCGGCCATGACAGCGGTTTTCTTAGTGACCATGGCTGTATCACTATAATAGCTTAGTGGCCACTCCTGTAGAACAAACATGGCGGAATTTTTGATTCAGTGAAAGTGGCATATTTACCTCATGATCTTTTTTCCTACTTAAATTTGATTATCAACACACTTTAAGGCAAAAATTAGCGATGCTCAGACAAAGCTTGTTTCGGCTAAGGAGTCCTAAGACCTTCCTCAGAGTAGCTTGGCCAGGAAATGTTAATTTAAAATTAGCAACGAAGTACGAGGTAAACCTGTCTTATGTAACTTGAAGGCCAAGTGACACTTCAAGTTTTTTATAACAGCTTATCACGCAATTACTCTTCATTGCAATGTGAATGTCGTTATTGTATTAATCTGATTGCGGGGCCAGTGATCAGACATGCAAGCTTTTTCTCGCGAAGTTTTTGATGTGCCAAATAAATTTATACTGGATAATAAATTATTATATAAAGTACCTGTATGGTGCCTATCATTCAGGCCCCGGTTGTTCGAAGGATGGATAACGCTATACACTGGATAAATCTCTGTCCGATGGATAGCGCTGTACGTTTTGGTAACACTTATCCGCTGGATAGTGATTTATCCGTTGGTTAGTGTTATCCGCCCTTTGAACAACCAGAGCCTGATGTTTAAATTTCTTCACATTTAGGTGAAGCCAGTGAGCAACCTCTTTCAAAAAAGAACGTTGATATCCTCTTCAAGACATGCATTGACACGTGCTGAACCAAAAGGAGCTCAAAAACCAGCTGAAGATGTTTTTAAGCGATCATCAAAGAGGGGTCCTGTAACATGGGCTTCACTTGCTCTTTGTGCACTTGCTGGCGGAGGACTGCTGCTCTATGTACGTCACCTCAAAGAGGAGAAAGAACAAGGTAAAATAATCAGTAACACCATCGGCTAATTTTCCATCATGCTTGTCAGAGGTTTAGCTGATGGGAGGAGCGAGAATGATCCCCCATCTTTGGTAAAAATAAGAAACCCCACTGCTGAAAAGTTCCTCATACAACTAAAAACAAAAATGTAAGCTTTTTTGCAACCTATGAAGTTCTTATGGTTATTTGAAGTCTCAAGCTGCCTCACTGGGTAGAATATTAATGACTCGTAAGAAGTTTGCTGTGGAAAATTATGTGGGTGTTGAGATGGCCCCTTTGGACTGTACATTGGAATCCAAATTTAAAGACACAATTTTTCATATGGAAAATTTTACAAAATTTGTCAAAGTATCTCTTTCAACATAGGAGTTTACATCCATTTATAGTGAGTAAACCTTAAGAGAAACCCTAGGGTCTGGGTGAACTTTGATGGATTAGAACCGCTTAAAAGGGAAGAGTTCTAATACTTGCAGTTATTTAATGACTAAGACGAAAGGAGTAAGCTCTGGATGCCAAGCAAGTCAGAATTGTATGCAGATTTTACTTAAAAGGAAACTCAGGGTGAGCTTTTATATAATTCATAAATTGTATCCATCTACAACCTGCATGCAAAACCTACTTTTTAATTGCAAGAGCAGAAAATTCTAATCAGTGAAAGTGTCATCCTTTCAGGGTAAAAGATGAAGCACTTTTGAGCCTAGTCAATGAAGAAATAAGAAAATGTTTATGTAAGATGGAGTTAATGCTAATTTGAGACCTAAATGTATCTAAATGTAGTGAAAAAGAAGCAGAAGAACAGATCCCTAGGGAAAGTTGCACTTGGTGGACCCTTCAGTCTAATAGATCATGACGGAAAAGCTGTTACAGACAAGGATTTTCATGGCAAATGGATTTTGCTATACTTTGGCTTCACCCATTGTCCTGATATTTGCCCTGATGAGTTAGAAAAAATGGGGAAAGCAATTGACCTTGTTGGTAAGCTGAACAAAATGCCTGAGAATTGTTAGTCTTTTACCTCTCATGAGTGATCAAGGGAGAATTTCTCCTTACAATATCATTACAATATCAAGAAGACAATGAAGTGATGAGAATAATACAAAAAAAAAAATATCAGTTGGGGGATTATTAGTTGATCCAATACCAAGCGCTCCAAGCTAACATCACAAGAATAATCGTATGATAGACAGTAAGAAGAATTACTGATGCTGAGGAGATCTTGGGAGTTGTAGGGTTCACACTGTGCTTGTACTTGTATCAGACATTTTTTTCAAATTAATGTACATCACTTTCATAAATGGCTGCTGGATTGATATTCTTTTGTTTAAATTCAAATTAGCCTCACTAGCCTCGCTTGAGATAATGTCGTATGATGCACGATCCTCGCAGTAGAGAGCACTATTTGTGCAATAGCGAAAATCAGACCTGAAAAAAATCAGGCCTGTATGAGATTCCAACCACTGACCTCTGCGATACTAGTGCAGCCCTCTACCAATTGAGCTAACAAGCCAACTGGGAGCAGGCCGTTAAGTTGATTCGTAATAAACCCATGATGATAAATCAGATACGATGAATATATGAAGTTCATATATTTTGAACTGCGGTTGTAGATACCTTATGATGCACGATCCTCTCTACTGCGAGGATCGTGCATCATATGGTATCTACAACCGCAGTTCAAAATATGTGAACTTCATATATTCATTGTATTTGAGATAATGTATTCTTTTGAATTTTGAACTGGAGAATGAGGCCAGAAAGGCTAATTTAAATTTAAACAAAAGAATATTAATCTGGCAGCCATTTATGAAAGTGGTCAATGGTCTCATCTTTGTCTCTCTTGAGCAGTGTTTTAATTAGCATATGAGTTTGCAATAAAAATTCCTGATAACAGACCACATGAATTAATTTGCATTAATTTCCTGTGGAACAATGAAATGCTTTTATATCAGTAGGCAGGAAAGACATCTTTAGGTCCTTAATCCCAAGATCCAATTAGCAATTTTTCACTCCAACCACTGTGTAATTTCTTGTAAATTAGAGGGGAGAGTTTGGTGTTTCATTGTGATGTCATTCTCTAGCTGATAAGCCTGTCTGTTCCCATAACCTATATGCAAGATAACATATTGGAATCACAGGAGAGAAGTTAAATGTTGATCACATTTGGGAGTTGAAGAGTTAAAATTATAGTACATGTATTTTTGTAGTTTGACATAAATGGTAGTAATTCTTTGGCAAGTTCTGAAATTGAAGTAACTGGATACAGAGTGAGTAGTTTCAGATAACAAATTAAAGAACAGGGCTTGACACTAACGGTAGCCCACTAGCCACGGACTAGTAGAAATTCAGTTTTGGCTGGTGGTTTTCGGTTTCCACTAGCCAATTTGGCTGGTAATCAAACTAAAATTGTCGGAACGTCTAAGATGTCACCAGCCACTTGGCTAGTAAGTTGAAAAGTTAGAGTCAAGCCCTGAAGAAGGTTTTTTTTTTTTGCATTTTATATTACTATCATTGTCTGCATTTCTTCATTTTGTCTTTTGATGTTCTTAGATGAGAGCAAAGATGCACTTGGTGCAGAGCTTCAACCCCTCTTCATAACAGTTGATCCATCGCGAGATGATGTCAAGGCTGTGAAGCAATATGTCCAAGGTGCGTCTGGTTTTGCATTTATGGAAATTCCTTAAATAAAAAAGTTTTTCTTCATTCAGTTTTAGGTACCCACTTCTTTGTCCCTTATTAACTACATGTTTCTCCTGTTGTAGAGTTTCATCCCCGTCTCCTTGGTCTGACCGGTTCGCCTGAACAAGTCCAACAGGTTTGCAAGGCTTATAGGGTATACTTCAGTGCAGGACCAGCAGATGAAGACAATGACTACATTGTAAGTGAGTCATGTTATGGAAATTGAGGAATTCTGCAATGTCCTTGGCTGCTATGTGTTGATGATTTCACTTTTTGACCCTAAGAGTGACTAGAATCTAATTTCTCCTTACAATATCACCCTTAAATCAAACATTTATGTCACAAGAATAAAGGAAATGATCATCATGACTAAAGAAGCTGTTGATTGTTTGACAAATTCTCCTTGTTAGCACTATAGGAAATGTATGGAGAACAGTATAAAGAATAGGCATACTGATGGTAAGGTGTAAAGTGTTCACAGACTGAAGTAGACTGTTAAGGTGTAGTACAGGTTGATTGCAATTTATGATTTCTGACCAGGTTGACCACACCATTATTCAGTACCTTGTGGATCCTTCGGGTGACTTTGCAGAGTATTTTGGACAAAATAAGACAGCAGAGGACATTGCGGCAGGGATTGTGAAACACATGATGTCAAACAAATTCAAGCAAAAGAAATAATTCTGTAGAAACATTTGTTCGCATCAAATACATCAAGTGGAGGATGATCTGCAGGCACTGCCAGAATTGGCTGAGGAAAAGCAAAACGTAAATTTATCAAGAAAACAGTCTTAGAACATTTTTTTTTAATTAATCCATTTATCATTTCATTTACTTGTTACTTTTCTGACTTTAATTTGTATACTGTGTTGCTCATGTTTTCAGCCAGGTCATTGCATTTAACAATATTGCAGTTGAATCCTGTCAAATGTGAACATTAAACTCACAATCAAACTGTCATTTGCAAGTTTTCTAGACCATCCACAGGAAACGAAAACAAATAAAACCAAAGGAAATCCTTTCAACATTCAATTTAAATTACACTATGGTTCTCAATCGCCAACTGCTTTAAACAGACACAAGCAAACGTTCAAGGAAACTTAATGAAATGGGGTTGGGTTGCCTGTAATGGACTGTTAGCATTCTTAGTTAGTAACTTGCTTCTTTTGAAACTAGAAGAAGCTCTAATAGTAATGTAGTGGTGAGTGGGTGCCTAACAATCCACCCAGAGAGAATGTCAACTTAAATGGTAAAATTTATAATTAACTGAACTTGAGAGAGTAAATCAGACATTTGTTGTAACATGTTTATTAATTAATCAAAGTTAAAAAACACTGAATTGAGATCAGGTCTTGACAGGTTTTATTTGAATAATTTCATCTGTAAAGTTTTGATCTTACACTTCAACCAATTTAATGTATACCCGCTATAGATATGGTGATGACAGTTTTAGGTATTAGGTAGAAGCAAATCCTTCTGATATGGAATACAACACTTCAATCATCGCAATTGTAACATTTTCTTACAGTGAGTTATGCATTTATTTAATGGTAGTAGATCTAAACCAGGAAGAAGTGATGCCACACCCATTTCCTCCAGATCTACTACTTAGTAAGTAACCATGTTATGAACACTTTGCAAATAAAATGATCCCAAGAGCTGAAACTTGACATTAAATATATCTCATTAACCAAGCGCAAGGGCTGTACTGGGAGAATATTGGCCCGAGGTCTTGACAGTACAGACCCAGCGCAGCAAGGTCCATACAAGAAAGACCGAGGGCTAATACTCTTCCAGTACGGTCCTGAGCAAGCTTGGTTAGTAAGAGATTTATTATACGATTGAAGTTCAAACGGACACAAGTGCAGTATCATTCAGGACCATTCGGGACAGTGCCCAGTCCAATACTTAGAGAATATTGGACCGGCAATAGAGCATTTTGATTGGTTGATTTTAGTTATTGGCCCTCTGACTGCCCGAGTTGTGTAATAAAACCATTTATTGCCCCCCAAAAGTTGTAAGTCCTCTTGCTAGGTATTTTACAGCCTATTAGTTTAAAGGCTTGTGAGGAAGGACTACCCACACACACATGATCAGAATACATGGTCACATGTAACCCCAGGTTCAAACCACATATTAAATATTGTTATATGCCAAGACGAGCACTATGATTGGTTGATTCTTGGTCACATGCCCCAGATCAAATTTAAATGTATCCCGACTGCAATACAGTTGTGCAGTTGTTGCCTGCCCACCAAATACAACAGCATGTTTTTCCCTTGGGAATGTTTAAGGGAAAAAGTCTAAATAAATAACAAAGCACTCATTGTATGGTCCCTTGGGAAACCAGTTAGTTTTGTTTTCCCTCGAGTCCTGATGTTTCCCTCAACTTTGTCTCAGAAAACATTGCAACTCTTGGGAAAACAAAATTAATTTAACTAACCGGTTCCCTTGGGACCATACCTAAAGTGTATAATTATTGTAATTCAACATTACTAGTTGGTAACAAATAGGTAAAGTTTTGTTCCTTTCCAGTCCAGTGAAAGGAAATACTTCATGCGTTTTACCACCCTGTGATTTTAATCTCTTACAGGAGAATTATCTTAAAATAGTAAAAAAAAAATTGGCAAATGGATCAGCTCCCTGAGATCAGTACATTTGCTCTGGGATGGGTTGTTCAAAGCTAAATTATAAGCTACTGAAATTAACAATTTTTGGTTTCGTTTAAATTTGTAGCTTGGCAAAGGAAATTTTAAAAGCGTTTCTATTTTTTACTTCAGTTTTGTGTCACCTGAAGCCCTATAATAAAGCCCTTTGTTAAGCCCTTTATGTCAAGAGAAATCAAGGACATGTTAGACTTGATATGCTTTAATGTGACAGCGTGATGCTGTTAGTGAGTTTCACAGGCGCTTACGAATACTTGGCTGTGTAGCCGCATGATGCAGGTCCAGTCGAGGCCCACAAATTGACCCTTGCTCACCATAGTCTCCAGTAGCTCAGTGGTTAGAGCATCCGACTAGATCACAGAGGGTCGTGGGTTCAAGTCCCATCTGGGGCTCGGATTTTTCTATTACACTAAAATTGTTTCATCTTTACATGTTAGACTTTTAGTTTTGGATTATCACTTCACAATCCACCTTTTGAACAACCAGGCCCTGACTTAGACTCATTTGGATAAAACTGTACTACTTTGTTGTTGCACTGACACACCACTCTCCTAATTGCCCTTGTTGAATGGAGGTGTAATGGCTAAATGTGATTACAGTGAAGCAAAACGTGCATGACCCCTTAATTAAAGCATTCTACAAAGATATAATTAAATACTGATTATGTGCAAAGGGCGCTTATTAAATTTATGGACTTTGTGAGTGGGTGCTGTATTTCATTTCACAATTTTCAGCAAGCAGTAAGTTCATTTTCAACAAAACAATAAATAAAACATCTTGAAATTGTACCACAAAAAGTGAATTTAGAAATTTTTTTTAAGCTGGTAAAGAAAAAAAATCCTCTTACTTAATTTTTTTCTTTCTTTTCTTATTTTGGGGGGAGACCTTAATCAATATGGGTGCTTAATGAAATAAATAATTAAAAGTACTCTAAATAGGTGCTATTCATATCCCTTTATTTTGATGTCTCAGTTAAAACTGTGACAGAATGCCTTGCAGTCTTTTTTTTTTCCCTTAATGAAGTAAATATTAAATAAATGTCAGAAGAGATTGGGATTAAATACTGGGTGTGCGAGACACAAGTGTCACCCTTAACCCCTTCTAATGCATAATTTTAGTGTTCCACTCTTTGTTGGGATAAATTTTAATACTAATTCACCCAGACTCACCCTATAGAAAAAAAGTTTTTGTACCAAAATTGTTAGCACCACAACTCTGCTGAAAGTAATAATTACTCTTGGTGCATAATGGTGCAGTTACCAAACAGTACTAATTGGTTAAAAGCAAGAACTGATCCCTTTCAACATTCTACAAAGATCACATCAAAACACACTTTCAATAAATGGTATTCAAATTACTGTTGATCTCTCCTTTACTGGTTTGATAGACTGTCTTTTAGTCAATATTGGGTGAATGAGAAGAGATTAAGACATACATGAAACAGGTGTGGCTGATATGAGTACCTTCCACAAACCCTTCATATTTCATATTTTCAATTAGCATTGCTTTGTTTACTGGGATGAAATTGAACACAGATTCATACAGTCCTGAGAGACGGAAATGAGATAAGAAGGTCAAATGTCCCAATAGACCATATATCAATGAAAGTAACTTGAAGTTACCTCAGTTGTCCAAGGCAATAATTTGTTATAGACCATTTCTTTCCACTGATAAATGCTTGAATAAGCATCACAGGCATCTGAAAATGATTGAACATAAAGAATGGCACAGGATCACTGGCATCCAGAACTCCATCTTTACCATTCTGCAAAACCTGCAGAAACTCTCCAAAACCTTGCTGGAAAAGCCAAACTTTGGCAATTTCATTGTATAACCAGTAGACGTGGGTAGAGGAAGGAGACGGCTCCACTGGAACCTCAAGCTGAAATCGAGTATCCATGGCTCCACGGATAGCTCTCTCAAGATCTGGCTGCATGTCATAAGAGACAATGGCAGAATGGAGCCGTGGGTTGCACTCAATACAGTACACCTCACCAGTTTTCTCATCTTCCAGGAAGTCAAAACAAATGCAACCTGTGAGTTGCTTGGCTCTGCAAAACTCCACTACCCACCTTTTGATTGCAGGGTGTTGGACAACATCATAATCAATCTGCATTGGTGAACAAGGACATACCTGAAAGGCTTGGAGATATCCATTCACAACGATGGCATTGGCTGCGAATTCCTTTCCCGTTATGAACTGGTGGATCAGGTATGGATTATTACTGTTAACCTTTCTCTCATAGCAAGCAATATAGTTATCAAATTCTTTTGCATTGCTTGGTATGTAAGTGAAGTTTAATCGGTCTTCAGAATATGGCATCAAAGGTTTCAGAAAGTAGTGGCCTTTTGAGAAAAGACCCTTCCTAGCCATTTCCTGGACTTCACTTGTACTATTCACTTCCTTAAAGTACGGCACTTGAAGTCCAAGCTCTTGGCATTCCTTAAGAAAAAGAACCTTACTGTCAAGAATAGTGGGCAACTTTGGGTCGTCAAAAACAAGACATTTTATCAAAGGGTTTACTTCTGCCAGACGCTGTTTAATGATTGTGTCTGCTACAGCCGTCTTTGTGTGGCTAACTGGAATATACCAATCAATATTCTCAGCCTTTGCAACATTTATCATTCCATTAATATATTTTTCTTTTCCATTGTAGGAATTTAAATTTGGCACTGTGTAGAATTTTGAAATGAAGTGAGACCATTGAACAGCAGAGCACCAGAAGTCTTCTGTGTCAGCCACAATAACTCTGTGACCAGCTTTGCCCAAGGTTTTGGCAATGTGGAGACCTTTGGTGTGAGCAACACCTGACACCAGCACAGTCTGTCTGAGTTTTTCTGCAATCTGTTGATCTTGTCTGGTTCTCTTTCCAAACAGCCAACAACCAATGGTGAACAGAAGACAGAATGGTGTGGCAAAGAGAAGCATGAATAGGTAGACAGCAGCTTTCATTCTGTACCAGTGTTGGCCAAAATACATCACAGGTTTTTGTCTAGCACTCTCCATTTGGTATCACTGCTTGAGTAAAAATTTATGGAAGTCAGATTACCTTATGTGAACGGACAAACTTGTCAGAAGGAGAGTGTCAGTTTTACTCATCCCCTACATCTCTTAACTTATCTACAGGAGATCAATGTATAACAACTAAAAGGAAGTAATACTGATAATCACAACAATGGCTGGGGGGGAGGTCATTTATCTCAGGTGGTTCCAAAAGGGAGGCTTATTGGAGAGGCTGCTCATTGGAGAAAGGAGTTTATGAATGAAGGAGGGGGAGCACTCATCAAAAACTTCCTTCGGGTCAAAATAACAGGTCAAATTATATTTCTTGTGAATTATTATGCAGATTTAGAAAGCTTCTTACAGTATGCGTTTTCTTTAATTTAAAACCTTCAATATTAAAACAAAAGAGCAAAATGGCGCAAATGGATAAAGATCCAACTACCTGGCAACTACCTGGCAAAACTACCTGGCAACTACCTGGCAACTACCTGGCAACTACCTGGCAACTACCTGGCAACTACCTGGCAACTACCTGGCAAAAAAGAGTTTTGTTATGGGGGCAGGGGAAAGGTGGGGCTTATGAACCTAAGGGTGTTAATGTTGGAGACTTTAAGTTCCTGACAAGGGCCTATTAGAGAAGGAGGCCTTATAAAGGGCCCGGTAGGACGTTTGCGTAATTAATTGGCTTACTGGAGTTCAGAACCGGTTGCTAAATTGATCACCTGATAAACTTGACAAATGTAGAACATTTGGTTTTTGTGTCACGCGCTTCTAATCAAATTTCAGGAGTCCTATTGCACAACCACTAGATCACAATGACTTAAATACATCTCTATTATTTTTTCTTTATCGAATTCTTAACTCAAAGCTTTTTGAAATTTGCGAAATGATTTCCGGAGTATTTAGAGAGTTACATAACTGATAAAATTTCACCAAGTGGAAAAAGAGCACTGCACGCCACAGTGGATGATTCTTTTCTGAATCATCAAGAGACGAAAAATGGAAATCAAAACGCTTCACTCACAGATAAAATAAGGCTACTTAGCCGAGTTTGGTGACGCCCACCGAATAACAAAATCTTATCTTCCATCACCTCGCCCATATAACGGAACAACCGGCATACCTTGTATTTTTAGGTACACGTCCAAGAACAGAGAATACCACATAAAGAACAGCAATCCGGAATGAAAGCCGTAAGTATAACACCCAAATAAAAAGGCTTCTTTCATGGATTGACACTTGCTATCACTAGGATTTCGAGGGCTAGGAGGAGATTCAATGTAAATGGTGGACAACGACGTGTGTGGAGTTAGCATAACGTGAGACCTAGCCTTATTTTCAGCGGAAGAACAAATTACCTACCTCTTTATACGATCCGCACACTTGTGTCGCAGGCAAAAAAAAAAAAAGCTATTCTAGGTATCTAGGAGAAGCGGCACAGAAATTTAAATCTCACAGGTTTTGATCGTCCCGTTTTGTACTTGACTTCATCGAGTGTTCAGATGCAGTAAGCAACGCGTACTCTTGGCGTTACTTTGGCGTGACTGTGGGTTGAGCGTCGAGGGTCTCGCTGAAGACCTGGGCCCAGTTGTTCGAAGATCGATTAGCGCTAACCCAGGATTAAATTTTAATCCAGGTTTCTATATTTCTCTGTTCAAAAGCCATTTTAAGATAATTTTCCCAATTCTTCTTAGAGCATTCAGTCATCAAATTGTAAACAAATGGAATTAAAGTGAATTTTATTTTAAAGCTTTCAGATCTGCAATTAAATTTCCCGGTAACCCTGGGTTATCTTAACCCCCTTTGAACAACCCGGCCCTGGGGTTTTACGTTTTACCCATCAGCTGTCAAAGTCAAATTTCTGGATGGGAAAACTGAGAGTAACCGCACAGTAACCCAAAAATAAACTTGAGTTGGAGTGACCAAGCCTTCGTTTCAGAGACGGAGAGAAGCAAGTTAAACAGGTGTCAAGCGAAATGTGATCTTGCATCGCAGCTCAGCAGAATAACATCTGAGCTACCTCTTACTTCCGGTACACTTGTGCGAATAGAGAGGAAGAAGCGCCGAAAAAAGGTAAATTGCATAGGTTTTTATCATCCCTTTTTGTACTAGACTTCGTCATATAGTCCGATGCAACGCGAACTATTAATAAGTAACACGTACTCTTGGCGTGACTGTATTGGGTTGGGTCTCTGAGGGGTTTCTCAGTAAAGTTAGCGAATGGAAAACCTGAAACCCCAAAAACTCGATTTGGAACTACCGAACCACTTTTTCTGGACACAGAGAGAAGCGTGTTATGTAATCAAATGTTGATAAGTAACCATAAAAAATTGCGATAATATATTTATTGTAAGAAATATACAAGTTTTTTTAGAGACATGTTTAAGCATGCTTATGCCATCTTCAATCAATGAGTAACTGAACGTGAGTAATTATATAATCTGCACACGGAAAGCGATAAAAACTCGTATATTTTTAAGCATTTTAACACATCTCCTTCCTGTAAGAACAAATACTCCCTTTCTTGCTTTAGTATTCTGGATTCTGCCAACAACTCAATTGATTTAAAACTCAAAGAAGCTTTTTATATAAATAAGATCAAACCTGAACTTTACAAACAATTACAGCATTATAACACTTTTCTAACATTTTAGTTCACATCTTTAATTCCATGTTTGTTGTCACGCTGTAATTAGTACCCGCTTTTGCATTACATCATATTGTAAATATTTTATTCATCTAATTGTCTGTTATATAATTACTCACGTTCAGTTATTCATTGATTGAAGATTGCATAAGCATGCTAAAACATGTCTCTAAAAAAAGTTGTATATTTCTTACAATATTTATCCTACTTGCTACTACTACGACCTATAGAATCAAAGCTCCAACTCTGAGCTGTAAAATCATGATGTAATAGCTAATTTGATCATGGCCTGTAAAGTTATATTAATTTTGTTTGCATCTGAAATATCGATGACTTCTGTAAGGACTTCTCTGTTCCACCTTTCCCTCTGACGAAGGGATATCGCTAAAAATATCACCTTTAGAAACTTTTTACAGTGATCTGTCTACGTTATCAACAGAAAGTTACCCCATCAGCTCTCACAATAGTCTAATTGCTTGCACTGGTGAGCTGGCTTGATCTCAAGTATGTTTTGAGACTGTTTCTGTACCAATTTCCTCTGAGCGATGTTTCCCGTTTGCACCTAAAATATCAGAACTTAAATGATTGTTTGAAACTAATAATTATAAAAAAAACTTAATATTGATCTAAAAAAATCATAGAGGAAGGTATTCCAAGGCCCTAAAGCTGCCTTCCTACCCTCCTCCCTCTCCATTGGGATTCCCTTCCCTGTCTGTCCCAGACCTCCCTCTTAGGCCCTAAAGCTGCCCTCCTACCCTCCTCCCTCTCCATTGGGATTCCTTTCCCTGTCTGTCTGTCCCAGACCTCCCTCTTAGCTACAAAGTCAAAATGGCGGTCATGCCTTGCTTTGATGAAACGGAATTTGCATTTGAATCATTTGTCTCGTGTGGTCTCGAACACCTGCTTGGTTACGATAGCTTGACGACACTGCTGATTACCTTAACAATGGAAGAGACACTTTTAGAAAGTAACAGTCAATTTCGTAGGCAAGTAAACAAAAGGGTTCTTAGCATCGTTCGAGGATGTCTGTGTGACAATGCAAAGGCACAACCAAGGTTGACAAGTTGTTTTAACTGTCAGTCCAGTGAAAAGAAGCCTCAGCTTATAGAGATAAACGCCTTCATTGAAAAAATTGATGAACATCGCATGGTTCAATGGGATAAATGTTGTATTGGAAAGAGCTGTGAAAGGCTATTCCTGAACATTGACAGAAGTTTATTTGGGTAATCTGTTATTGGTGTATTTTCAATGAATTCACGCGACTTTTCTGGTGAGCTTCTGGAAATTTCAATACTCTATACTGAGAAAGATCTTTGTCTTCGGCTTGAAAAGTGTTTAAACATGGTGATTTCGTGGACTTAACATGTCTTATCGTGGACGAGGATACAGTAACCAACATCAACAGCGTCGAGCATTGGCTAATGGCGTGAGACAAGCGCGGCCTTTTCCAGCCGATAGTAACAGCGATCTGGAAGACGATGATCATGTCAGACTGCCAGAAATTGATAGAGATATCAGGGATAGAAAACCGCAAAAGAGAGATGGTAAACCTAGCTACAATAGTCGCATTCCATTGCCAGCAAGGAGCAACGAAGGTGCAGCGAACGAGCTCACCGCAGGTGATCCCAGAAACTTCAGAACACGAAATTATAATTCATTAAATCCTGAGTTTCCTAATAATTCTACCCCAGATCCAGTAACTAGAGATCAGCGAAAAAGTCGAGTAAATGCTGTCAAGAAAATTACTTTCTATCGAAATGGGGACAAACATTTCAAAGGCGTTGAAATGGTTGTGACTAGGCAACGCTACAGATCTTTCGAGACGATTGTAGATGACCTTTCGAAGGCAATTCCACTTCCGTACGGAGTAAGAAATGTGTTCTCGCCTGGTGGAAGTGTTATTACAGCTATCAACCAGCTAGAGGATGGAAGACATTATATCTGTTCCTCAGGAGACCAACTTATTAAAAATGTGAACTACGGCGAAAAAATGAAGGACAAGTCTCGGTCCCTCGATGTGGAGAGCTTTTCTGGAGGATCTTCGCATTCTTCCTCGAGTAGGGATTCAAAGTTTGGCGGGAATTCCGACAGAAATCCGAAACCGCGCGTGATAACTATCGTGAGTGAGCACGACAGAAACAAGAAATGCAAAATTTTGTTGAACACGAAAACGGTTAAAAGTTTTGATGATATTGTGAAGGACATTTCTGACATGTTGAAGTACTCAGTCAAGGAATTGCGCACTATGGAGGGAACAAAGGTAAGGCTTTAACTTTCGTTAAAGCGCAAGTTTAACTGATTTCCATCGAAACAAAATCATCAGTGCTAGGACAGATTTTTCGTTTCAAATTATTCTTTTCGTTCGGAATGAACTGAACCCTTGAATGATTTTAATTTTCCTATATTTTTCAGATAAAGGGTGTAGTACCTTTTCAAGATTTTTACGAAATTACCGAGAAGAGCTACGTGTAATAATTGCCCCAAAACATTGTAACAAGATCGGTCTTATTTTGTAGACAAATATTGTTAAAAGAATAAAATAGCCACCTGTCCGCTTTTATTAAATTCATCAAACTCTGTCCTAGAAGAAATTGGTAAACGGACTTAAATTGGGTAAATCAAATCAAGCTCTCTCTTATCTTGCCATAGTTTTCCAAATTATTAAAACAAATATTATTTGATGAAAGCAGTTGGTGGATCAAGAATTAAGGCAGGAAGGCTTTTTGACATTATGAAATATAGATGGCTGCCTATAATGAAACTACTTAGTTTTTAATTATTAATAGCATTTGGTTGCAATAGTTTTTATACATGTTTTTGAGAACAAGCCTTTATTGAAGTTCAGCATATGAAGTGAATTTTGCAAAATATTAACTTCTTACCCTGGAAATTTTTAATATTTTGTTTCAAAACATAATTTTTATGAGAGGGGATAATTCTCAAGAGAGTGTAACTAACTAGAAAGATATTTGCATAATAACCCTTAGGAAGAGGTGATATATATGTGCATATAAAAAAAAATTGTAATCTGTGAAATGTAGATGTGTGAAAATGAATAAACCTCAGTGGGGAAAGAATTTAACTAAGTGACTTACTTAATTTGTAATTTTGTATTTTCTTACTTCACTGCAGACAGAGCCAAATATTAAGTGTGAGTGAAACTCTCTTCAACTATTTTGATTAAAATCCAGCCATGTGATGGGCTGAGAAACACTATCTGTAAGCTCAAACATAGCAAGTTTTAGAAAACTGTTTCTCCATGCAAATCTCTTTTAGAACAGCAGTGACACACTGGGCTGTGCCTGTGCCTTCTTTGTTCTAAACAGATTTTGGCTTCACCTATGGTGCATTACTAAGCAGATTCATGGCAACATGGACTCTGTTTGTGAAATAGATTATTCTGTTTTTCAGGTGAAAAGTCTCTCACAGTTGTATCGGGATGCTGATACTTTCATTGCTAGTGGCACAGAACAAGGTTCTAAGAGAAACCTATCCAACCCATCATCTAACAGCAGTAACCATTCAGGATCTCCGCCTCAAAGAAATCGTTTGCAGAAGACTAGGAAGAAACCAAGGGAAGAATCATCTGGTATGTGGCTTTGCACCTTAATTTTGAGCCTCTTACATTTTCACACAGAGACGCTCAAAGAGGGTTGAGTTTACTGAATTCGATGGTGTTCAGTTTTGATCACAAACTGCAGTCTAGGTTCTAAGAGCATGCATACACTGGTGTGATTGGTTTTTGGTATTTAGTCTTTAAGAGCTGGTTGAAATGCATGTGAGACACTCTCAACCCTTTTTCTTCTAAGATCTTGTAGCTAATTCTTCCTTGGAGCTGTCACACATTTCCCTGTAAAGTATAGTCACAAGAATTAGGTGTTAACTAGATTAAGATTGCAGTAAATGGCTTGAACCTGGGGGTAACATGTGAAAGTGTAGTGTGATCGTCCGGGTGAGTGTAGTCCTGAGAAGGACTGTTGTCGGTGGTAGTGACTGACGTTTCGACAACCTGTGCAGAAGTCATCATCAGAGTCAAGTGCATAGTTGTTGTCAGTAGAATGTTCTTATTTCAGTTCATTTAAAATCATTGGTCAGTTTTGCCATGATGTTATCGGCTGTAAGACCGAAGTAGTGTAAGTCGGTCACGATTGGTCTGTTTTGATCCATCGTAAAGTTTGGTCATTCTGTTCGGTTCGTTTGCATTGTTTATGTCATGAATGAGTCATTTGTATGAAGCCAGTAGTAGTTGACACCTGTTTAGGGGAGTCTGTTCTAAGTTAGTAAACCAACTTTCCAGAGTCAGTCATTGAAAGTAGTCAGTGCTGTAGGTTAGGCATTGTGCAGAGTCCCAGTCAATATTGTGGTTCGTAAGTCGATGATGTTCAGCAATGGAAAGGTGATGTCAACAATGACATTGCTGAACATCATCGACTTACGAACCACAATATTGACTGGGACTCTGCGCAATGCCTAACCTACAGCACTGACTACTTTCAATGACTGACTCTGGAAAGCTGGTTTACTAAGTTAAACTTAGAATAGACTCCCTTAAACAGGTGTCAACTACTACCGGCTCCATACAAACGACTCATTCACAACATAAACATTACAAACGAATGGAACAGAATGACCCAACTTTATCGACGGATTGAAACAGACCAATCACGACCAACTTACGCCACTTGAGTCTTACAGCCAATAACATCATGGCAAAACTGACCAAACATCTTACATGAACTGAAATAAGAACGTTCCACTGACAACAACCATTCACTTGACTCTGATGACTTCCGCACAGGTTGTCGAAACATCAGTCACTACCACCGACAACAGTCCTTCTCAGGATTACACTCACCCGGACAATCACACTACACTTTCACATAGATTAAGATTATAACATCTACCTGATAAGTTTGAGTATTCTCATTACCTGTTTGCTGGATTATGTATAAAGATTATAAAGAAAAGTTAAATTTCAATCATTTTTGGGTCAGTTAAAGGGTTAAGAAGGGATGACATTTATCACTTCCTTTGCAAATGCTTTTCACTTGCTCTTTACCTTGCGAATTTCATATGTAGAAGAAATTTTCGTGTGAAATAAGAGTTAAAACCATATCAATTAAGACTGTGCCTAGAATTTACCATCTGAGTATATGCAGATAAAGCTCTATTTTTTTTTTTTTACCATTCCTAAAAACACTTGTCCATCAATGTCGTAATTATAAAAAAAAATTCAAATAATGTGATTTTGTCTTTCCAGTAAAAAGCCAAGTTGTGACCATAAAAGTGAAAGGACGAGTGCATACCTACCATCACACATCAGATTTAGATAACTACACAATTGACGAGTCTCCAGTATCACCACCAGACTCCAAGCTGCAACTCTCATGGGTGTATCTTTTCAACACTTTAATAAATAAATAAATAAATAACTTTATTACACACATAATTCAAAAAGTTGTCACTTATTTACATTGAAGCTGTGTACAGAATAGATTATAATATACATATAGATAAATTAAATTAAATAAATAAATAAATAAGTTTAAAAGCTAAATATATATACAACTAAAATTACATACAATCATTTCTCAAACCAATAGTTTCAAGTAAAACTCCCTATCCATTCAGAATTCTTTACATGATTTGGTAAGTTAAAGAACCCACACACTCTTCAAAAAGAGTAGGGCACATAGTGCCCGGTGTTGTGGTCTATCTTTGTGTAGTGTCTAATCTAGGGTGAATTGGGGATGGAAGGTGAGATCAATACATGGACTGAAGTGGCTGCATAGTGCGCCTGATGAATTCTGACGTCCGATCTCACCTTAACTGATTTTAAAGCGCGACTGATTATCTATATAGTAGTTTGCGCTATATAAATGTTAAATTGATGTTGTTGTAAGTCATTAAAAAGCTCAGCGGCTGCATAAGAAAATGATCTACTTCCTGATTTAGATGAAATCGTATTCAAGTGAATATTACTAAGTCCCCTAGTATTATAATTATGTATATCCAAATTACAAGAAAACAAATTCAATAAGTAGGATGGACAGAAACCATTTATGCAGTGGAAAACTTGAAGACATTTGTGGAAGGTCCATCTCTTAGTTAGTGGTAACCAACCTAACTCCTTATACTTAGATAGTATAATTGTAGCAACTATACTCAGGTTTATATTATTAAGAAATGCAGTGACTGGAAAGTGGAGACTATTGTAAAGAAACAAGAGAATAATATTTCCTCCAGGGTCAAGTTGTTCAAAGGGCGTTTTAATTCATCCAACAGATAAATCACTGTCCAGGAGAGAAGTGTGAATAAAATGTACTATATGCCATCCACTGGATACAGATTTATTTGGGGCATATGGTTTTCCACCCTTTGAACAACCGGGGTCAGGAGGGAATTAAAAAAAAATAATTTGAGACCATTGAATTTTAGTAGGAGAATTCTCCTTTCCAGTGTTAATGATACTCCTGAAAAATAGATTGACAATTTACCTCTATTATCCTTGACTTTTGATTTAGATATGGATACCATGGCAAAGACAGTTACAATAATTTACACATCTTACCATCTGGAGAAATACTTTACTTTGCTGCCACAATGGTGGTCATATACAACAAGTCAACAAACACTCAGCGCCATTATACTGGACATGCTGATGATATTAAATGGTATGGAATGTGGTGCAGGTTATCCAGAAATCATTCAATCTGTAATAGGGCAGTGTAAAACAGCTACATGTGGCTGCAATTGATAGATATTATATCTCTAGAAAACTTAACACTTATGAATCCTGTGTGGTTATCAACCTCCAATAATGAAGAAAAGTTTGTCTAAAAAACACAGATTAAAGGAAAATTGAGGTAACACAGTCATCACAGTTTGGTACAGGGAGATGGTGGTTTATTTGTTAGCATGATTGATCTTTAATAAGTCAGAACAATTTTCAATTTAGTGTCAAATGAAATCAGGGATTGCTCTGGGTTTACTTTTCTTGTTGTGTGTTTGGTTTAGAAAACTGGGCCCATTTTTCAATCAATCAAATGCAAAACTGAAACCACTCACAACTTGGTCACTTGCATTTTGGGGCAGGTTAGTTTTACTTTGAGTTCTCATTGGCTCTTACATGTGTATTCCTTTCTTCTGATTGGCTGTTGTGATTACTTTCATATTGAATTGGTTTGGCTTTACAAGAATCACTCAAAAACACTCTATTGGTGAGTTGCTAGGTTCATATGACCTTCTGAAACCATCACTGATTATAAGCATTGGTGCTCTCAAGAACAACTGGTTGATATAACTGTAAATTTCTTCTATGTAGCATGGCAGTTCATCCCAATCAGTGGTATCTTGCAACAGGACAGGCATCTGGGCTGTCAGTGGACCAAAATGAACTTGTGAGTTGTGGCACTTTTTAATTAAGTGCTAAACATAATCTGTTTCAGTAATTGTTGACAAAATGGTATTACATGTACTGTACCTTATTAATTATTTATCAGTCACTAATGCTCTGTGTCGCGTTCCCGATGCCGCAGACATGTGGTGTTGTGCACCGGAGTTCGCCAGTATAACCACAGTGTTGAACTTTAGACAAGTAGCAGCATTAAACTCTTTATTCACTTAAGCTGGCAGTCTTTGTACAGCACAGGCAGTAAAAACTATAGAACGGATACATGAAGGTTCGATATATGGAAAACCAAAAGACTACAAAACTAGAAATGATAAAAATGAGGAATATTACAAGCGTAACTTACATCTTGACTCCGGATAGAGAACTCCTAAACTCTGTTCAGCTCCGAAATGCTTTCGCTACAGTGACTCCTCGCAACTGAACTACTTGCTAATAGAAGGCGAATTTAGTTCTTACACTTTGACGTAGGGGAATANTGTCGCGTTCCCGATGCCGCAGACACGTGGTGTTGTGCACCGGAGTTCGCCAGTATAACCACAGTGTTGAACTTTAGACAAGTAGCAGCATCAAACTCTTTATTCACTTAAGCTGGCAGTCTTTGTACAGCACAGGCGGTAAAAACTATAGAACGGCTACATGAAGGTTCGATATAAGGAAAACCGAAAGACTACGAAACTAGAAATGATAAAAATGAGGAATATTACAAGCGTAACTTACATCTTGACTCTGGATAGAGAACTCCTAAACTCCGTTCAGCTCTGAAATGCTTTCGCTACAGTGACTCCTCGCAACTGAACTACTTGCTAATAGAAGGCGAATTTAGTTCTTACACTTTGACATAGGGGAAATAGAAATGAACAGTGCGTTATGTAGCTAGCTTCAAGCGGATATTTGCTAGTCACGGAATAGAAATCAAACAAAGCATGCTAACAAATTTAATAGAAAGTCATCGAAAGTTTCTCAGTGTCTTTGTGCTAAAAACGGAAGAGTTATATAAGTAAAAAAGATTAGAGTTCGCATCCGTAAACGTGACGCTCTGATCTCCAGCAGTTGGTCAGAAATTAAATGTTAAGCTGGGTTTCCCTGTCACTGAGAGGTATTATGGATAAACAACTAGCTTGATTTGCTATTTGTGGGCTTTTCCCCAACAAATGATTGTTGTAAAAGAGAGATCGAAATAAGATAAAGCTAGTAATAGTTTTGTAAAAGGTGAAATTGGCAAGAATTAAATATAAATATTTAATATTTAATTTGCAGAGTCATATCAGGATCTGGGATGCTGAGACACTCATCACATTGGCTGTTCTGGCCCTTCAGGAGTACAGTTTAAGTGTTTCCTGCCTAGCATTTTCTCAACAGGTAATTTAATTTGCACTCAGACTGTTATTCTGTGAAAATGCAATCATTGCCGTACAGCCGGCATTTAACTTGTTTTCTAAATCCTTTTTGCAAAGTACTGACAAATTAAAAACTCCCCACATCTTTGATTATGACTACTGCAGCTCAAAATCCACTCTGTGTCTGAACAACAATAACAGTCCTTTTTGCATCAGACTGTGCAATCAACTAACAAGAACTGCAGACTATCAGTGGAACTTTTGAAGTAATTGAATTTGAACATTCTCACAGCATAATAGTTATGGAAACACTTTTCAAATCTTTTGAAGGGTAGTTTTCCCATCAGTTGTTGAAGGGAATTCATTTTCCTGATCCCCACAAATGAGTTTTTGTTAATACTCATCATCTCTTTTGATATATACATACATACATACATACTTTATTACCACTTCCCCAAATGTGATTTTCAGATGCAATACAATTAAGGTAAAAATTAATTATACAATTAAGCTAAAAATTATATATCAGACTTAAAATAGAGCTATGACTTAAATAGCAGAGGTGCTGAGGTTACTTAAGAGGCGAGACCTAACTGAAACACATTAACTGATTCACAGAGTTTCAGATCGTTAGATAAGGAATTCCATAAAGTAACTGCTCTATAGAAAAAAGTCCTTTGGCCACTTGCTGTTCTGTTCTGTTTGATTTCCTAATATCCAATTATATAATGTGTAAAATACTGGCCAGGGATAAGAATATTTCACAAGTTGGCGTGGTGAATGACATTATGGAACTCAGTCTGTTGCTTACTAGTGGTTTTCAAATTGTTAACAGGATAATGGGAAACAACTGGCCTGTGTGGACTCACTAGATGATGAACATCATCTCACTGTATGGGAATGGGAAGAAAGGGTAATAACACAACAGAGCAAGGTGTGAATAGAAAATTAATCGTTGCTTGTAAATCTTGAATATTCTGGGGCACTGAAGAAAAATCAGAGTATCTGTCAGATCATTCTATAAACTAAACTACAGAAAACTTGAGACCAAGTTAGGCCATTTATTTTGTTCATATGTTACAAAACCCCCGCATGTTAAGGCAGAGTTGTGTAAAACAAGCTGATGACCTAACCCTTTGAGCCCAAAGAGTGACTAGCATCTAATTTCTCAATCTCGACAATATCAGCCCTGAATCAAACATGAAGGTTGCAAGGATAAAGGAAATGATCTCCATCTAAATATTAAGCTGTTAATAGTGTCAATCAATTAATCCTTGTCAGGACCCTAAGAAATGTTTAGAGGACAGTATGGAAAATGTGCATACTGATGTAAGGGTGTAACTTAGTATCTGCTGCAGCATTCCTAAAATTACCTTCCTTGTAATTAGGGTCAGTCTAGTGCTATTGTGGCAGTTGTCTTTGATCCTGATGACAGTAAGACTCTTGTCACTTGTGGAAAGGAGCATGTCTATTTCTGGAGACTTCACAACACAAGACTAGAGAGGAAAAGTGGTTATTTTGAGGTAAATTTATTGGTACTCGGCCAAAATGAAATTTAAATTTTTACTTGTTTTGTATAGTGAATGCAAGGTTTCTTCTAGCTTGCAACTTGTAGTCTTAAATTCTAAGATTGATTTTTAATAGGTGTGTAATTTGGCCAGGATTGGTATGCACCAGCTGCTTAAAATTCCTGAAACTCTTTACTTTGAAGAGGCTTCAAATACAAGTAGCTGCTATATTCCCAGAGATGGAAAGCTGTTAGTCCTATCTGTCTGGTTTCCCTATAGCCAGTACATTCATTGACAAAAATTTCTTGCCTAAGTAGACAATGTTAAGACCCACTGACGCCAGAGTCCTGATGCTATCACTCCTCTTAACCCCTTTGAATCCTAAGAGTGACCAGCATCTTATTTCTCTTCACAATATCACCCTGATTCACACTTGGTCACGAGAATTAACAAAATGATCAAAATAAAGAAGTTCTGGATTTTTTAGCAAATTCCCCCTGTTGGCACCTTAAGAAACATATCGAAAACAGTATAGAGACTATACATACTGATGTTAGGGTGGAAAGGATTACAGATCAGATGATTATGATCTTATGTTACTCATGAGAATATGTCAAATTGTTTATCATGTTTACCATTGCAGAAGTATGAAATTCCCCAGTTTTTTACATGCTTAGAGTTTTCACCCAATGGAGATGTCATTACTGGTGACTCTAATGGTTCTATCACAGTTTGGGGAAAAGGTAACTTCTAATTATTTAAAATAATTCGACTTGCAGTTTTTCTTTATTGTTGCTAGTCCACATGTGTAATTATAAAACAGGATTACATAAACTTTGATGTTTTCATTTCATTTGATTTTAGTATCAAAGAAGATCAAGTTTGTTGTTAGGAATGCCCATGAGGTAAGATGTGTTTCCTTAGACTAGAGAAATTAATTTTTAACTTTGATTGTTTGATTTGAAAAGAAATTCAATCCTGCCTCATGTTCATTTCAGTTGTTATGTGACTAGTACTTTACTTTCTTTCAGATCTCCCCTTATCTCTTTTTCCACTTTCCCATCCTCCTAACTTCTGCCACTCTCCATCATTCTTTCCCTACCCTCCTTTCCTCCTTCTTTTGTCATCCTTCCCTTCTCCTCATCCACCCTCCCCTCCCTTTCTTATCCACTCCCTCCATCTTCCATCTTCTCTTCCCTACCCTCCTTTCCTCCTTCTTTTGTCATGGTTCCCTTCTCCTTATCCACCCTTCCCTCCCTTTCTTATCCACTCCCTCCATCTTCCATCTTCTCTTCCCTACCTTCCTTTCCTCCTTCTTTTGTCATACTTACCTTCTCCTCATCCACCCTCCCCTCCCTTTCCTGTCCACTCCCTCCATCTTCCACCTTAACTTCCCTGCCATCCTTTCTCCCTTTTCCTTTCATCATTGATCCTCTTTTTCTGATCCTTCACCCTTTTCTTCCCACTTATGTGGCTTCTTTTTCTCCCTGTTTCTTTTTAAGGCTTCTTTTCCTTCATTTATCCATTTATAACAGATAAAGCAGAAAGCAAAATTACTGTCAGTACAGTAACTTGAAATGGCATTTCTTATTTCTATTCGCAGAAAAGTATTTTAAGTCTAAGGTTACTTGAAAATGGGACTTTGTTAAGTGGTGGCTTGGATGGCAGACTTGAAGCTTGGGATGCAAACAAATATTTTAACACACCACTGCAAGAAATTCAGGTGATTAAGAAATTTCCATTCCAACATGTTAGTTGTTTTTTTCACAGGAAGCCCACCATTATCAGAAGAGCATTTGTTGCTTACCCTAATTCTTCCAATGGGAGCCCCCATTTTTTTTTCCCTCAAATTTTGGATGAAAGGAAGGATGCTCGCTGGAAGGAATTAAGGTGCTCATTCAAGGAGGGCGCTTGTCAGCAAATTGTTTACCTGTACTGATACCATAATAGTTGAAGCTTAAAAAGGTATAACTTAAGTGGTAATAGAAACTGGTTTTCGTAGTATCCTTAGAATTTAAAGAAAATGAGGGGGGGAGGAGGGTGCTTGTTTGATACTATGGCTTAGGGGGTGGGCACTTATTAGAGCATGGGCCCTTTTGGGGAAACAATATACATTAATTTTTATTGATTCAATTTTGAAAAAAAAATGTGATTATTTCTTAGCTGGACAGTAATTTTGGGGGAATCTGTGCTATTGAACCATTGCATTCAGGCCATGGAGATGACATCAGTGTTCTTCTTGGAGTGACAAGCAATGATATTGTAGAGGGCTCTCTAAATTCTTCATTTCAACCAATTGTTGAGGTATGAATCAAACTGAGATGCTCTTTTAGGTAGTAATGATAACTGATTGGTTAATCCTGGAAAAAGGAAACATTGGTATCAATATGCAGAATGCATGGTCCATCAAAATTTCTTTCCTTATGCACTCTTTTTGTTTTATGAAGGAGCCTGAGTCACTTTTCAAGCTATTCTTCAGACTTATAGAATTTCATGTAACTTTTAAATAACAATCAATATATTCAACTTCTATATAACATTAATTTTTAAACAAATTTTATAATTTTATATAATTTTCATTGATATAACATTCAACTTATATAACTTGAATATAACATTCACTTTTTTTGCAAATTTTATAGGGCATTAATTTTAATGTAACTGTTCTCAGGTTCCAATAAACTCTTCAACCTCCAAGATCTGATTGTTACGTAATTCTCCCCTTTTAATAGCTGCTATACATTCCCTTGTAAATTAATTACAAAAATTTGGTGTTAGATCAAGATAACAACTTCTGCCTTTAAGTTACAACTTTGAATATTCTCATCACCTGTTTGCTGGGTTATGTACGGATATTATGGGGAGAAGTTACGTGTTAATACTTTCTGGGAGTTAAAGAGTTAATAGCAGGTTGCTTTCAAGCACCTGAAAGGACCACCCTGAGCCTTAATACCTTTATTATCTTAATAAGGTATCTGTCTATCTGTCTGTCTGACCAATCACACCCAGCAAATATATTTGATAGACTATAATTGCAAAAGATTAAAAAAAATTATGGTTAAAGATTTCTTATTTTCAACAACTTATCCATATGGAAAACGGCTTATTAATTAATAAACAACACTTTTTATATAGTGATATAGAGTCATAAGGATGAAAATTATGGTTGAGGATTTCTTATTTTCAACAACTTATCCTAATGGAAAAGGGCTTATTAATTAATAAACAACACTTTTTATATCGTGATATAGAGTCATAAGGATGAAGTTCATGCCCTTGCAGTTCACCCTAATGAAACTCAGTTTATCAGCGCATCTCTTGATCACACAGTCTCTTTGTGGGATGCTGAAACCCATCAGATTATTTGGTCAATCAATGTGGAGGTAATTGCTTTGAATCACAGTCACTGAGCCAAGTTTAAGAGTTGGTGATTTTTTGTAGTTAGTTGTAGTCATAAGGAGTATAAAACACATGGTTGGCTATTGATTTGTGGGCTGGACTTCATATTATAGAGAGGTTGCCCTGGTTAGGTCATTGTGACATTTGTGTTCCTGGGTAGGGTACCTCACTCTTATTGCTGCTCTCCTTCTGGGACTTAAAATGGGTATTGGTAGTTTTTAGACAAAATGCTTTGTATATGTGTGAGTTCAGGGGAGAGGGGAATGATGGGAAGGGGATAGGAAACCTGTGAGGGCCTATTATCTCATCAAGGGTGATTAACCAAACTTACTTACAATGTTCAGATTTAACCTTTTATCCTTAATTCTAACCACTTTTTTAATAGATGTTGATCTGTATCTTCTTTCTTGCAGTTTCCTGTCAAGTCAGCAGCTTTCTATTCCACGGGTGATGTGTTAGCTTTAGGAACAACTGTGGGCAGGTATGATCCAGGGTAAAATTAGATTGTTTTGGTAAGTTGTCATTTAGAAACTGCTGCATCACCAAATTTTCTATTTTTTTCAGGTGGATTGTATTGTCATGTGAATCAGGTATGCACATTGCTTCATTTCAAGATGGAACAGACCCTCTGTCTGATCTGGAATATGCTAAAGGTAGGGTTAGTTTTCACTTGGCTAAACAATTTTACAGCTTTAAGAACCTGATGTTCTCAAAGGTTTTAATTCTTTGTTTGTTTGTGTTATAGTAGAGGTGGTTTCATTTGTTAGCTTTTTACCTAGGAATAAGATTACCTTCGTTTGGTACATATTTTATCTAAGATAAAGATACATGTACCAGGTAAAATTGAATACACTATTTTTTCAGTGAAACAACATAATTATTATTTCACTCACACCTTTTGGATATGAAATGATTGTTAGAAATATGAAGCCATGGAACCTTGGTAATGATCAGGAATGATCAAGTATTCTGATAAAAGTTAATTTTTTTGCTTAATTTATTACCAGATGGAGAGCACATTGCTATTGCCTCTCAGGATGGCACTATTTCTGTTCATGCAGTCTATGATGAGGGAACAACTTACAGGAGAGTTGGCACATGTTCAGTAAGTCATGATACACAGAAGTCAAACAGATCAACAACTGACAAAGGGCTTGATGCTTGAAATGTCAGCTTTAGAAGCTCTTTACAGTTGCCTCTGTACATAATCAACTCAGTTGATTAAACCAAATTATCAGATCAACAAATGGACAGACTAAAAAAAGAGATTAGCAGACAGACCAACTGGTTTACAGACACATGGATGTCTGAGCAGAGAAAAGTTAATGTTTGAGTTATCTTTAGTTATAGTTTTACAGTTTAACTTACAGGCCAACTATGAGACTCAGATATGGATTTTGGGGCCAATACTTAGAACACCAAATAGACCACCAAATTTTAAACCACTGTGTTTGCATTAAAGAGGTGAAGTTTCTCTAACAAAACAAAAAAAAAAGAAACTGAGAAAGATCTGAGAGCAGTTCGAGAAGTGGGCAAGTTGACTAAAAAGATGTTAAGAATTTAAATTTGTAGTTAGCTGTAATAAGTATTATTTTCTGAAAGCAAAGCAATATGACTTCTATTAAGGATATATAACCCTGTCATCTCTCCTCTCTCTCCCAACAGGGGCATAGTGTACCAATTATGTTTCTGGATTGGTCACTTGATGGCTGCTTTCTTCAGAGTTTGTCTGTTGATTATGAACACATTGTTTGTAAGTGAATCAAGTTTATCCATAAATAAATATACACCTTAAACATGACAGTGGCAACTATCACCGTGGTGTTTTCAAACTATTGCCATGGCAAATAAAAACTTTTTTTGTTCCTCTTCTTACCATTGTGACAGTGAATTTTGCAGTGATAGATCATCCATCTCACTGTTAGTTCTTCTTGCCTTGACAGTCCAATTTCCCTTTAAGAAAGTGGTAAATGAGAGTGAAAATAATATCACTAAAGGAATATCATCTCAATTGAATATAATATTATTCAGGATAGCTAACAAAGAAACTTACCTTTCTCCAAATTGGTGAATTCATTTTCAGATCTTAAGTAAACCTGCATCTACTTTTTCAGGGGAGATTGGTGGATTTCAGAGAGAAGAATCACAAGATGTCATCCGTGACATTGACTGGTCCACAAGAAGCGTCATGTTAGGATATGATGTAGCAGGTATGAAAGGGGAAGTGGGTACTGGATGGAAAATGTGAAATTGTCTTGCTTAAGGACTAGAAGAATTTAAATCATTTTCTAAACCTTTGAGTTAGACGAGACAGATAGTCAGAATAGGAGGTCATTAGTTAAAGCAAATAAAATGTGTCAAATACAGTGCATAAATTTGGAAAGACACTTTGATAATGATATTTATCAATAATATTGTCCAGCTCACTGCCCTACAAATATGACAAAATGCTAGTATAAACCAGTAAGGGAATTGTAATATACCAAGAGCCAAGGACCGACACCTCTTTCAAGTTAAAATTTTATGAAACTCTGCACAAATGCTCGACAGATTTCTTTGGCAATTGTAAAGAACATTTTTTAATACTTTAAACATTTTGTTCTTGATAATTGTATCTTGCATCACTTACTTAATATGCAGGAGTGTGGCCTCCTCAACCAGACGATGGAAATTTAGTCAACAGTTCTGACCTGTCATGGTCACGTGACATTTTTGCTGTAGGAGATGAGTTGGGATATATCCGTCTGTTTAGATTCCCATGCAGTCAACCAGGGGTAGGTGATAAGTCATATATTTATGTTTTTGTTTTGTAACCTTAATGTTTAACTAAGATGTTGAAGACTCCTTCATGTTAAGGATAAAATCAAAGTCTAGGTCAAAATAAGACCCAGTGTGTTTCTATATGTATTGTATTACATCTGCTATATTTACTATTGACAAAAGTTACTTTTTTGTTTCTTGAAGTGGCTTCTATGGAGTTAAGGGGTGGAACCTAGGAGTAATATTCAATGATTTCATGTGATTGTCTGCCCTCAGGTAGTTCAGAAAAAAGGACTGTTTTACGGGCATTGACCAATGCTTCAATCAAGCCAATGTGTCATTTTTAATTCTAAATTCTTTCTGTAGGCTCACTATCACCAGTGGCGAGGCCATAGCTGTCCTGTCACACAAATGCTTTTCCTATCATCAGACACCTACCTGATAACAACTGGCAGTCGTGATTTCTGCATTCTTCAGTGGTCAGTAGAGGGAAAGCTTCCTGCTTTTCAGGAGGAGGAGGAGGAGTATCACATGAAAAATGACATGGTCCAGACTAGTGGGCATCCAAAGGGAAAGCAGAGACTTTCAGAAAATGAGAGTTACCATTCTGATTATAGTGCTGAGGAGCAAGAAAACAATGACTATAATGAATTTTCTAAAAATGCAGCAAGAGGCAAACAAGTGACTAGGCGACAACAGCCCTCTGAAGACAGATATGCCAATGAAGAACCTCCCAATCAAAGACATCCAACAAGGAAGATGCATCTCAATCATCCAATGGATGACCCTAAACCTGGGGGAAGAAGTCCTCGACGCAATTTCCCAACCCAGAACACCAGATCACAGCAAGGATCATATGCAGAGAAGATGACAAAAAATAAAGGTGGTAGTAACGCAAAGTGGAACCATCAATCTTCTGATTATCCTGGGGAAGAGTCTGCAGACATGGATCAGTATTCTGATGAGGAAAGCCCAAGACAGCATCAAGGACATGGTGGTAGGCGTGGGGGTAGAAGCCGCCATCCAATGGCAAGAGGACAGGATACAGATTGGGATAGGAGGCAGCGAAGGTAGCAGCGGGGCAAGAGTAATAAGACTAAGACTAAAACTAAAAGTTTTTTGTTTTTTTTCTCAACCATGGGTGAGACTAGCTCTGGGTCAAAATATGGCACTGCTATCTTCAGACACTGGGTGCACATCACAGCCAAGCTCCCAAGGAAGAGGGCGTAACCACCAAACTGCTTATCCTTCATGTTCACAAATCACATACGATTGACAAGGAATTCTACAGCCAATGCATTTGACCAGCTCCCCATGAACACAGTTTATGTCTGCAGACATGGATCAGTATTCTGATGAGGAATCCCCAAGACAGCTTCAAGGACATGGCGGTAGGCATAGGGGTAGAAGCCGCCATCCAATGGCAAGAGGACAGGATACAGATTGGGATAGGAGGCAGCCAAGGTAGCAGCGGGGCAAGTGTAATAAGACTAAGACTAAAACTTTTTTGTATTACTGAAATTGGGAATAGAGTCAGAGATTAGGTAGTGTGAGTACTAATTGAAAGAACCAAGGGGAAACTGTTTTCTCTAAACCTGACTTAACTTTTAGCATGTTTTTCTCCAAAAGAAAAACAAACAAAAAACCAGACCAAAAAAAGCAAAGAGCAAATTGCTGAGCACTGTTTTTCTATTGAATTGCTTGCTACATGCCAGATTTAGAGAGGGGGGGGGGAATGTACAGAAACTTACTGTTGAGTAGAGTTTTTTACTAAGCCTCTTTAAAGGAAAAACTATTGTGAGGTAAGCTATATTTATTTAGGATGACTCTGAAACATAAAAGATAAGTTACCCATATTTATTTATCAATGTAACTTAGGTATATTTAATTTTATGCTATGATTGTGTTTAGTCTTGCAAGGTATTTATCCAACTTTTTGTAGCATGCTCATTTGAATTGATCACGTGCTGCAGAATTTGTTCTCTTTTCATGGCAGGGTTCGTACACTTTTGACCTGTTAAAATTCCATGACTTTCCATGACTTTTTCCATGACCTTTTGAAAGATTCCATGACTAGAATGCAGTGTGAAAGAATGTTTGCAAACATTCTCACAATGCGTGCTTCTGTTTATTTCTAATGAAATTAAATCTGATTTTTGGACTCGTCAGTTAACTTTTCAACTTTGGGTCTTATTGCCTTTCACTCATAGAGAGCATAATTATTGATTTTCCATGACTTTCCATCACCCACACGTAAATTGCATGACTTTCCAGGCCTGGAAAATGAAATTTTGAAATTCCATGACTTTCCAGGTTTTCCATGACCTGTACGAACCCTGCATGGTAAGGACTCTCTTGATATCTGACAAATGTGTCATTACTGGAGGTTATGGAATACACACAGCTTCTTCAAGAGCTTTACAAGGCACAAAATATATTAAAAATTTATTAATTACAAATTGATTTTGAGAATTAATGAGTTAAATAGTCGTTAGCAATTGGTCTGGTTAGTTTTTTTTTTTATATATATATAGATATTCATTGTAGATTCATCCCTGATAGGAATGGAAATAGTTTGATGGAAAGGGTTAATAGAATTATTAGTTAAAAAATGCAATAATAAGTAATAACACCAGACAAACAGAGAATTCCCATAGGTCAGTGTAAGCAGTATCAATTGCAAATAAACTTCTATTTAATATTTCATCAAAATTAACAGATTGCACAATAAAGTAAAAAACATAAGAAAGGTTTATGATTGTGTACCATAATAATGCACAAAGCCAAAGAAATTTTCAGATGTTCATACTGAGCATACTGCAAGGACATTTTAATTTCAACAGACCACACAGTTCAATGAACATGAAATGAAAATTTGACTGGTAGCTTTTATTATACAATTCTTACAAGTTTTACTTTTCATTTCCTTTTAAAAACTGAATAACAGGATGTGAAAACAACAAGTTCCTCAAAATAATCATTAATAATACATCCTAATAAATAATTCTATGTCCATCCAAGCGAATCTTCATTGCTATTAGTTTAAGAGTCACAACATTTTCAAAACATCCAATTTCTCAAGTTAACATGTCATTCCAGCCCCAATCATTGCTTTTCAAAATTTAATATCCCCTCTGATCAATAAATAATTAAAAATTGGACTGTCAAAAAATCTTCACCAAGAATATGATTGGTATAAAAATCCATTCTATTTGAGTCAAACACTGCAATGAACATCATTTGATAATTATATTTCATGAGTAATGAAATTGCTGCATTAAAGATAAACTTCCATTTGTCATTGTATACACATTGACAATCTTCTGATTGTTCGACCACAGTCTAAACTGAATGGCAGAGAATACCGCAATAGCTGACAAGAAGAATGCCAAAACAGCTCTCCATGGACGTGCACCAGCACGCTGTTCCAGAAGAAACTGCATAACTTTATCCCAGCAATCTTCCTGCTCTGACCTCCTCTGACGACTAACTTGGCGAACCAAGCGATTCCACAAATAATCAACATCAACATTTCCAAGAGAGATGATTGGCAGCATTAAGAAGAAGAGTAACAGAAGTGAATGCAAATATTGAAAAAAAGGCAATGGATTGGTCTTTACAATCCACACATGTAACTCAAGAAAAAGACAGACTGTGCATAGAATTAGGTTCAGTGCAATCCAACCTGAGGAAAATTCACGGAATTTGTGGAAGGCATCAAATGCTTCAGCCAAACGAGCTCGACACAAATCAATGTTGTTGATGTTTTCACGCAGAAACTTTGTTACCAATTTGATTTCTGACTCATAGCTGCAACGTAGAAGGTACACTAAGTAGCAAAATCCACCAAAGTTAATGTAGCCTTCTACAATGACAAAAAAGTGAAGAGGAACCAAAGTTGTTAGACTAGAAAGTGTTTCATTAGCAACCATGGGTGAGACCAGCTCTGGGTCAAAATATGGCGCTGCTATCTTCAGACACTGGGTGCACATCACAGCCAAGCTCCCAACGAAGAGGGCGTAACCAGCAAACTGCTTATCCTTCATGTTCACAAATCGCATACGATGGACAAGGAATTCTACAGCCAATGCATTTGACCAGCTTCCCATGAACATAGTTGGCCATGTGGTGTGCACAACAGAAATGAGACAAGTGAATGGACCAACATAGAGCAACAGCTTCATTCCAATCCAGGCAAGCACATGAACAATATCACAGCCAGAATTTGCATAGCTTGTTATCAATAGCACAATGTTAGCTAATGTTATACCAGTTATGAGCAGGAGCCACACCAATGACAGAAAGCCACTTCCACAGTGGTTCAGAAAGGATGAGCCAATTTCATGATCAGTGATAACAGTTGGCACACCTTTGTAATCCCATGTCAAGCTGTCACATACTTTACACTGATTATCTGTGTAGTAGAATGCAGTGTGCTTCTTTGACTTTATGCATCTGTTGCATAGTTTGGAGCAAACCAGAAAACCTAAAGAAAGAAAAATAAATCAGATGTAACACAGTATCAAAATGAACATGGAGCCCATGACATGACTGACAAGGCTCTCTGTTGTATTCAGAGCACCCAGGAATGGTTAATTTATGTGTTTACTAAAGTGTACACCCATGTTGATATATTAACCCTTTAAACTCCCAAATATGATCAATGATTACTAGTAACATCTCCACTTATCTCTACATTATTCTGAAAACAAAGTGATAACAATAGAAATATTTAATGTTTGAAGGACACTATCTTGATGTAACATTACATTCTCTCAACTACTTTCCAGCATATTATTGGAGGTAGTAGGAGAACTGCTAGTCAGATGACACCAAACAGGTACAGGAAACAGAATAACAGCTGTTTTTTAAGAAACAGGACACATGAAAGTTTAGTTTGAAGGAATTACTTTTCTTGAAGTGTACTTTGATCCTATGACACTTATCAGGAAATGCCTTGGGTATTTTACACCAAATATCTGAGAACAGAGGAACTTAACAAAAAAAAATTTTGAGGAATATGTTTAAATATTATCGGCATTAAAAACAGGAAACTGTACTACAGTTATGCTTTTACCAGAATGATAAAGCCCTAATGTCTTGAAGTAGAACCACAAGAGGATCGGCCATCTTTCACCCACTTCAGCTGCTCTTAAAATGGGAACATTCACAGACTCACTGCTACCACGGTGAATGTTCAGTGCGCTGGACATCTAAACGATAGAAAATAAGTTGGAAAAAGATCAACAAATAAAACAAACGCACTTCAGGACTTAAGAAAAGTTTTGAAATACCCTATACCACTGAAAATGAGATGTGAAAATTGTCGTTGGGTTAAAAAAAAAAATTTCAACCAGATTCCAGATTCCCTCTATTTTGCTCAAGAAACCATCCAACCAACTTACTATTATTAGAACCCTTTCCTTTTTTTGAACAAATTTAAAATCCAATCATTTCCCTATTTTCAGAACATTGTCTCCCAATTTCCGGTACATATTTAGAGCAGTGATCATGAGCATTTCCTGTCCCAAATTAACAATCTCAAATTAACAGTCGTCCACTCAAGTAGATGCACTTGGCTCAAATTGACTAGTTTTATGGTTTGTAAAAAAATTGTTGCTTTGAAGAGACAAAATACTGGATTCAACTTCGCGCCGAAGAATCCCTTTGACATTGTTCTAGAAGTTCGAAACCGCCCCCATACTTCGCATATGCACACGAAAACCGTGATTTCATGAGATCAAAAATCGCAAAGGCCTTTAAATTTTGCTGTATTGAAATGTAATGAAATTAGATCTTATGCCTCGTTTCCAATTTTTCGCGCAACACTCTGAGCAAAATTATTCAGTTTTTTTTTGTGCACTCCATTACGCAACGAAGCAACCTGAATATTACGTGACATGGCGTAATGTTTATTTCTCGTGACATTTGTAGAAATATGAAATACGAAAGATTGCCAGCACCAACAAGGCTGAAGATAACAGGCATTTAATAATAAATGAGTGTCGTTTCCTATAACGATCCTCAATCACTGCATTCAGCTTAGGAGACCTCAAGTCGTAAGGGTTAAATGTTTCGTCGAGACCTGTAAATTTGAAAAATAACAACTAACCTTTTTATCGGAATTCGCTGCTCCACTCCATTCCGCCGAGGAAGACGTGTAGAAGGTCGTTTTATTTCGCATATTGCGACCAGAGGGGTTTACTGCAAAGCAGAGAGGCAGATCACTCGGAAAGGCAAGACAAAAGATGGACAGTTCCCTTGGTTCTAGTCTCGTTACATAACATAACAACAACAAATAGATATTCGTTTTCCCATGAGAAAACAGTAGTCGATCAGAATGACAAATGATGTGAATTTACTGATTGCGCCCGAGTAGATCGTCGATTTCTTAAAAACTTAATTGACGAGAATAAAAAGAGCTTCAGTTTTCTCTTTTCACTGCAAAAGTTTTGAAATGGAGAAAAATTGACCTATGAAGCTTGAGGGCTTGCAAGTCATTGCAACACAGTCAAAGTTGCTGCTTTGAAGCTTTGATTCGCGTCATGACAAATTCTAGAACCGTTCAAAAACCCATCAAAGATCGTTTAGGGCACGTTCGCTGATTTCCACTTAAACAAAGAGATCTGTCCAACTTTCTTTCCACATCCCATCCCATGAAATAAAATGTTCATAAGCAGCAAAAATAAATTCACATTTTCCCAGGATAACTTACCAGATCTTCACTCAATTTTCTATGTCAGCCGGAGAAATCCATGTTTGAAGCTCACATCGCATGTCTGCTTAGGTCAGAGTTCAAAGATATGTCATCGCTTTTTTTTTACACCGTCACGGACACCGTCATGTGAAAGTTAGGTTCCAAAGGAGGCCGGATAAGGAACGATAACAGAATCAAAACTAACACCTGAAGATATAAAATTATGACGTACATTCTCACCTGGGTTCGCGATATTCAAACGAGTTCATGATCGTTTACCTCCACGCGTCCGCGCGTAAACTCGCATTATACCCGCGCGCCATTCGCGCATACTAGGGCCATACCCACAAACCCTAGCGGTATTTAGTTTACACGGCATTTCGGTTACAGATTCGAACGATCCTAACAAAATTTGTACCGATCTGTCGCTACGACAAACGTGATATCATGATCAAAGTCATAACATCGGTCGTCTGCGCCTTTGCAGCGATCTTGATGATAATTTTGAGCTTAGCCACGACCTACTGGCTGCAGTGGGTGATAGTTTCTCACAACAGAAACATCACTCATTACCGAGGTTTGTTCAGGCATTGCTGGGAATCCAGGGACAACGTTACAGACGAACTCATCAGCGCGGAGTCTGATTGTTCCAGTGACAAGCACACGCTCAAGGATGTACTGAAATCAGGTGAGCAGTTAATTTGGTAACCTTTGAAAATGGTTAGTAGAGGGAAGTAGGCGTAGTACAGGAACTTTCTAGTCACTTTTTTTTTACTCCATAACCGAATCTAAGATTTGAAAGGAGCAGCGCTCGACGTAACTACCTGTCAGTGACGATTTCTTTCTTTTGACTTGTGCGAGATAGACTGCGAAAAGTTTTTAATCATTGTAACTAGTGAACCATTGCGTTGTAATTTTTAAAATCATACGTAAAATATTTTTATGCGTGAAGTGAAGCGAGCATAAATGAAAGCATGCATGTTAATCAAGCAGAACGCTACGTACAGATTCCTTTCAAATTTTAATCGGCACACCCTGTGATTTCGTTCTCGGGAAAGCGCAGCTCTGAGGGAACACACGTTAATACTAAACAATGATCAAAGTCATAACAAGCTTTGTGAGCTGTTTAGCGGCAATTCTGTTAGGAATTTTGGCACTAGCCACCGACTTTTGGCTAGTGTGGTGGAAAGAAGCAAAGGAAATCGGAGGTGTACAATATCATCATGAAGGCTTGTTTCAAACTTGTTCTGAAACCTCGATCAATAGCACTGTAGTTGCTGCCGATAGCTGCACAACATTACATGATTTGGGAAGACCAGGTAGATCATTTTCGGATTTGTTTCTAAATAGTATATCGAAGATAAAATATTTGCGTGTCTTGTGTACATTTGTGTTCCTTACTAGTATCTGGCTGACTGATAGGGCAGTAAGTTTGCTCATAGTCTCCCTACATGATAAATCTTTCTATAACATCAAAGTAACTTTACAGTGTAACTTCTGTCAGTAACTAATTCTGTTAACTCGGAGTTAAATAGATCGATGTCAGCAAGAAACTTGATAGTTTCGAATAATTATTCTAATTATGAACAGTTCTTATACATATTTTAAAGGTTGTGAATCTTTATGAGAATATTTGTTGTTCATAGAAACTTTTGTGTTTCAGATTTTAGTCTTATTTCATGAACTACCAGTAAATTATTGTGAAAAGTTTGAAAACAACATACTGAATATTCTCTTCTCTTAGAATACAAGCATGTTCTGGAATTTTCTACGAAATAGCAGTGATTCTCATCAATAATAAACAATCAAAAAGTGCATTAGATATGATTTGCAACTGTTGCTTTTTCACTGTGCAGTGTGTTAGGACCTCTGAGTCAATGTTACTAAATCAATCAAGTTTCAATTGACCACTAACACTATTGGAAGGGTGAAGCCTCTGTGTAAAGACAGAACAGCTTGTAACTGCGTGGTTATATATTTACAGGTTCCTGGTGTGATTTAAAGAAATCTTGAATAACAGCATAATCCAATATGAGACCAATTTTATGTGGTTTATGCGTAACATGCTTGTCATTTAGTAACTAGTCCACAATTTTTATTTGATTGTACAATTGTACACTGTACTTTGTTGTTCTCCTACAGAAGCAAATACTCTTACTTTGATTTGCTGTTTACAACAGAATTAATGCAGTATGTAACAGTGTGTAATTTTCAGGTTGATTTTTTGCCTCAAATAATTACTGGTGGCAGTGCCTATACGGTAACAAACAGAAACATGACTGTGTTAGCAGAACACTGCCACAGCCTAAAACTAAGAAAAAATTACCTCAATTAATGATGTCCCAACAAAGAATATCCAGGCATGAACATAAACAATGATAGTTTCCAGCATTACATGACCCATTTTAAACAAGTGCCGTGGTTTACAATAAGAAATGCGCTGATGTTTGTTCAGAAACCTTAGCTATTCCAAGAAACAAACAGATTAAGGAGACTGAAGCTTGAGGACAACTGACTACTGACAAATATTCATGCAGATAATTGATGATACGCAAGGGAAAAAATTCAAGCTTAAATTTTCCTTCTGTTTAAAGCTCATCAGACTAGCTGATGTGTACATCGTTCTGGAAACATTGTCCTGCCTCATTGAACAGAATATTTACCAATGTTTTCCTGTCTAAAATATTCACTGCCAGTGGTGTTGACTTTTAGGGCTCTCTCTTCAGACAAGTTTTTATCTTTTTTTATTAACAATCATTTTATCAATTTTGTGGTTATGTATAATAAATTTGTCCTGAGTATGATTGTAGGCAGAGCAGAGTTCAAAATCAGCACATTTATTTACTCCACACCACTGCCATGTCCCTCCTTATTTAAGCTTTGATGTTCATGGTTATCTACAGGATGGGACAAAAATAAATGCTGGTCTCTCTCTCTCTAATTGAATGAAAATGTTTTGAGTACTTATAGATATTGTTTTTTTTTTTTTTCAGACTGGAATGGAGCAGTGATTGCCTTGATGTTTCTGGCCCTCATCTGCCATTTAATTGCCTTTATCATAGCCATTGTGGCAGCAATACGAAAGGGACATCCTTTTCCATCCTTTACTGTAGGCGGATTCTTCTGTGCAGCAGGTATGTACAACATAATAGCTGTTGAGTCTTGTTATTAACCTTCATGAGGAAAAGGCACCTGAAAAACTTGGATTTGATTTTTGTTTTGAACAATCTCCTCTCTGTTTTTCTATGTAGCTATTCTTGTGGTTATCGCTTTGCTGGTCTTCACATTTTTTAACTGGAAGGATGATGTGTTCTTCAGCTGGTCATATGGCGGAGGATGGTCTACAGTGGCATTGTCCATTATAGCATTTGTGTTAATTATGGCAGATCGCTGAGGAATTGCAGAGCCCAACTGACAAATCAAACAGAAAGTAGACTTCAACACCAGATTGTTCCAGTTGGACATAACTAGCATTATGGCCTCAAAGTCAAGAATGGCATTTGAACATTTTGTAAGTTAAGTGTGTAAAAATTTTATGTGGATTTGTTGCTGGGCTCAAAGTATTCTACAGTGCACCTTTAATCCTTGTATGTCATAACATAATCAACATCTCAAAAAAAACTTGATTTCTAAAGGATCCTCATCTGAATGAAATAATGATGTTGACAACAAAATCAAAAATTATTATGCTTGAAAACGTTATCATCAAGGGTTAAATATGTTCAACAAATTACCAGGATTTCTCTTGTTAAAAGTGCTTTTTGCTTTTTTTCCCTGTAGTTTAGTTTTTCTATGACAGCGACACAATTTTCTTCTCCAAATGGAATAAAATTTAAACCAAGCAAAGTTTACAAAGTCACAACACTGATGGTTACAGTTTTTTTGTTTCTATTTATTGGCTTTAGTTAATGTATTTTTTTATTAGATTAGAAAGTGGAATTTAAAAATGTATAAGGTTAAAATTATGGAATGAGTCCATAACATTTCAAGTGAGATAAATATCATTGCATAGCCTGGCATCTGATGTAACTTACTAAATTGTGGATGTAAAAAGTTTTTTCACCTTTTGAGACATTTTTTGTTACCCAGTATGCATAGCAATGCATGCTAAGTATTTATACTGAGACACAATTTTGTACATAATTAGGATTGTTTTGTTCTGTTTTGCCTTGTTTTTCATTGCAAATGCAAATTTATTGATTGCTTCCCTTTGAAAAAATACCCTAATTAACCTTGACAACCTTGTGTTTCAAGAACATGTTTATTGGTTATTTTGGGTATTTTTAGAAATATGTTTCCTCCACCTTAGGAATGCTAGGAAAATTTAAATATATTCGACAAAGCAAAGTGTGTTTCCTTGTGTTTTGACTGAGTAGAATATTTCATAGTGTGGCACTGAGTTGAATTTCCCAGTTAAGGACCCTAAATATCATTTCTTTATTCTTTAAAGGTTGTTTGATAGATCAATACCATCACTATTGTTATACATTAGACTTGTTCAAGAGCATTCAATCACTACACAATAATGTGTGTAGCTGAGATGATAGAAGCAGTATCAGCATTTATCATGTTGAGTTCAAAGTCTGCCTAGCTTCTAAGCCTCTTATCCACGAAGTGTTCTCATGGCAGCACATTATGAAACAGTTATTAAATTCTTGTGTATATGTTATCTGCCTCAGCCTTCGGCTTTAGCAGATTCATACGCGGAATGCAAATTTGGTGTCCAGTTTGAATTGCCATTCTTCTGGACTTACTAGCCTTGTCTTCACATGGAAACACAAAAGGATTTTTACATGTGTGAGAGGCTAGTGAGTCCAGAACAATGGCAACTCAAATTGGTCGCCAATATACGTATCTATAACCGCAGTTCAAAATATATGAACTTCATATATTCATTGTATCTGATTTATCATCACGGGTTTATTACGAATCAACTTAACGGCCTGCTCCCAGTTGGCTTGTTAGCTCAATTGGTAGAGCGCTGCACTAGTATCGCAGAGGTCAGTGGTTCGAATCCCGTACAGGCCTGATTTTCGCTATTGCATAAATAGCGCTCTCTACTGCGAGGATCGTGCATCATTAGAATGATTGCAATGTTAGTAATAGCTGGGCGACAGAAGGTAAAAGGAGAAGGGGAAGACCAAAAACCACTTGGAGACGTACAGTAGAGAAAGAAAGGCAAGAGACAGGTTGGAGGTCGTGGGAGGAGGTGCGGACAGCAGCAACCAGTCGAGAGCAGTGGAAAAGCTCAGTGAAGGCCCAATGTGCCACGAGGCATGAAAAGGATTGATGATGATGATGACCCTATTGTTTGTAATGTTTTGTTGTCTTTGTTTTACGTCACTCGTGAGCTTCACAGGTTTTTACACCGAGGATGAGCCCAAATGAGTGATTCTTGCCACATTTGATGGAAACAAATTCGAGTCTTCCCACGCAACATCGGATATTCCAACTGACCTGCGATCTATCCTGCAAATAAAGCACGTCGCGTTTTTTAATGGAGTATGAACACCTGTAAAAACGCATCAATTACTAGGACAAACCTTCGCAAAACAGGTTCATTCCTTGTTCCCTGTACGTACATCATCGTGAAACATGGCATCCCGAGGCATACCAGGGGACCAAACTTTATACTCGCAAAGATAGATGGGACAGACGGAGAGGGAGAAAATTACAAAGACCACTTTAGAAGTAGTTGTATTCCTCCCACAAAATGTTCTGAGGTCTTTTCAAAAATTCAAAAAGACGAGAGGGACACAAGAGTTAAAATTGCGAACGTAAGTGTGAAAGAAAATGCGCGAGATACTAACGTAACAATCTAAGAGAGTAAAGTAAAAAAGGGCGAGATTCTCACATAACAATAAAAGAGAGAAAATTGAAATTGCGCAAGAATCTAATCTCACAATCAAAGAAAGAAAGCTGAAAATACGCGAGATACCAACAAAACAATCAAAGGAGATTGGGTAAGATTGTAACGTAACAATCAAAGAGAGAAAACTAAAAATGCGCACGATTCTGATGTAACAATCACAGAGAGAAAGCTAAAATGCGCAAGATTCTAACGTAACAATCAAAGAGAGAAAACTAAAAATGCGCAAGATTCTGATGTAACAATCAAACAGAGAAAGCTAAAATGCGAAAGATTCTACCGCAACAATTAAAGAGAGAAAACTAAAAATGCGCAAGATTCTGATGTAACAATCAAAGAGAGAAAGCTAAAATGCGCCACATTCTGACGTAACAATCAAAGAGAGAAAACTAAAAATGCGCAAGATTCTGATGTAACAATCAAACAGAGAAAGCTAAAATGCGAAAGATTCTACCGCAACAATTAAAGAGAGAAAACTAAAAATGCGCAAGATTCTGATGTAACAATCAAAGAGAGAAAGCTAAAATGCGCCACATTCTGACGTAACAATCAAAGAGAGAAAACTAAAA